ACAAAAAGTCATGATTCCAATGTTAAATGTTGTAACCAAAATTGGATTGGGGGCTTTCCTGCTGGCCCTAATCATGACTGTCCATCTTAAACAAATCATAAACAGAAAAAACAATATTATTATATTGGTAGATAAGTATATTAGAACTCATTTGATTCTTACACATTCTTAAGAGATCTTTTTATTCTGACTGAATATTATATCATAGTAATCAATCTAACTGAAAAATATAGATTAACTGTAGATGTGGTGTATCCTTGACTGTAGTTCCAACTAGAACTAGAGTCCAGTTCAAATAATATATTTTAAAGCTGGGGTACCTAGGTTTAAAGAAACTACATAAATTACATTCAAGTGAAACTAAGACCATTGAGATTTGAAATGATACAAATGGCGTTGAACCTAACCATCTTTTTGTTGTTAGAAATATGAAAAATAAATTCATGTATTATTGACCTACACTAAGTAGCGGACAGTGGAGCTGCAGCACTTGAATTAAAGCGCTTTGTACTGTAAAGCGATTTGTGACTCTGGACTGTTTTAAACGTACTAAAATTTACTAAATTATCTGTTATTTTGTCTAGATCTATGCAGCCCTCAACATCTTCTTTGGCATGGCGAGCATCGGGCTCCTCACCGTGGTGGCCATTGACCGATACTTAACCATATGCCGACCACATATAGGTATGATCCACACAGTCCTGTCCAGTCTCTAGATCATGGGTGTCAAACCGAGCCTCAAATCTTCAGGTGAGTCACTTGACTCACCTGAGAAAATCCATGGAGTCTGGTGTCCTGCTCAGGTTGGATCTAAAACCTGCAGCCACAGTTGCCATTTGAAGACACCCCTGCTCTAGATGTACAACATACTTTACAGTCATAACCCTAACTTCACACCCACACATCTGATGTCTTTTCCCAGGACTGAAAATGACCATGCGTTCCTACAACCTCCTGATTGCAGCAGCGTGGCTCAACGCAGTGTTCTGGTCCTCGATGCCTATAGTGGGCTGGGCAGGCTACGCCCCGGACCCCACAGGAGCCACATGCACCATCAACTGGAGAAACAACGATGCGTAAGTCTTCAACAGGTTTTGAGGACCCTCCTGAAAACGAGATGATGCATCTCAAGAGGCTATTCCTCGTAATAAAGATATGTTAAAGAAAGAACAACAAAGACAGATTTCCTCCGGGTGCTCCAGTTTCCCCTACCACTAAAAACATATAAGATAGGTCTGGCATTTGCCTCCTGTATGGCGACCCCGCTCCCATCTCTGCGCGGAGTGAGTTAAAGTCCTTCGAGTCATAACTACTGTTGTGAGTTAGGGCTATACAAGAATAAATGGAATTGAATTGAATTGAATTGGGAGAGAACTGCCCACAACAATTGTAAAGCGCTTTGTGACTCTGGTCTGTGGAAGGCGCTATATATACATTTTACTTACTAATTTAACATTCATATTCAAGATTAAGAGATCCTTTGTTTGTCCTACAGTGGGGACATTTCAACGTTGCATTACCAGTTACAGAATAGAAAGAAGAGAACACAACACAAGATACATTAACAATAACTCCATACTAAATACATAGATAAAATTATGCTCAAACAATACCAATTAGTGAGGTGCTGTAGTTCCTAATAGCCGTGCTACTTCCCTGCCTTTTCAACATACGTAGCTCCCTACTGTGGCCAGCAGAGGGAGCCAGCACACTACAAAGTTGCAGTGTTTGTAATCGAGTACCTGTGACTCTCCAGCTCCTTCATCTCCTACACCATGGCAGTGATCGCTGTCAACTTCGTGGTTCCTCTGTCGGTCATGTTTTACTGCTACTACAACGTGACGGTGACTGTGAAGAGGTACGAGGCTTCCAATGGCCTGGACAGCATCAACGTGGACTGGTCCGATCAGATGGACGTCACCAAGGTTCACATTCCAACCACACCAGACCACAATGGACATGACCCCCTACTGCTGGAAACGGATAATTCACCTAAAAAAATCCTCCCCAACATCCCTTTACGTTATCAAGATGTAACACTAAATATGACTTAGTTAAAGGTATATAGGAGGATTTTCCCAAATTGTAGGAAAGAACCGCCCACTTTTTTGAACATAACTCTCTGGTCTCATTTGACGAGCATGTGCCACCAGAATGATTGACAATTGGGAGGACCAATTGTTTTGAAGATCCACCCGGAAGTAGAAAATCCTTCTATATACTGGGCAAATTCCGAATACATAAATCATTATGTTTAAATAGAAAATCCTTCAACATATTTAAAAACGAAATTATTCTATTATAAGCAATAGTTCTCATCTCTAAAATTACCCAGAAGCAATTATAACCATCACTTTTAGAAACATTTTCCATTTAAATCTTTGTAGTGTAGTTTTTTTTTTTCATAACAACCCTGGCTCCACCCTACCACTGGTTTTATATTATCCTTCTATGGTACATTTTTGTCTATTTAACTATGTAGGATCACCCTCCCTGTACAGGGAGGATTCAGATATTTTTCATTTAACTGCATCAGTATTATAACTTAACTTGTGTCAATATAGTCAAGCTATACCTCTTTTGAAAGCTTATTCCCACCTCTAAATGCATATTATGTTCAAATAAACATTAAATATCAACAAAAGTAAGTATTTGTAGTCAAACTGTATACATATAAAAAATATATATTGTCCTTTCTTACCTTTTCATGCTAATATTCTGGGCCAAATCACGTCTAATCCACACATGTATGCATTCATTTTGTCCGGGAGGGTCTAGAGAATAATTATATCCAGTTGTTTTTTCTTCAAAGTCATCCTTATAGTAGATATCCACTTGTAACGACACATTTGAGTTTTGAAAGTTGCCCGAACAAAAATAAAACCGCGTCTTTGCGCACTGTCTGAAGACGCCATTGTTTTTTTTTTACCCAGAATCACTGGGTATGTTCGTCTTCCTCTCAGTCTTCCCTTCAAAACAAGCCCTCACTCGGACTTCTCAGTGCTATGGTTTGGGGGGTACAACAAGTTGACGAAAACAAGCGCACCAAACTTCAGCCCTCCAGGCATTTACCTTTCTGTGCGTCATGACAGCATTGTCTTGACTACCATTGGCCAATTTGGATGTCAATCAAACCATCTTGTAGCCAATAATCTCAGGTTTCAGGCGATGTGTCGGACTTCAAGGTTCCTCCCACTGTTCGAGTGTTATTTGAATGCGTAAGAGAGGAAAGCGGAGCATTTTCACGGAGAACACGCGCTATAACTATATAAATAATAGCTTTTCTGTAAACATTTCAAAATCTGGAAAAAAAATCCTATTTATAGCAAGAGTAATAGCCAAAAAATGATATAATTTGATTTTTGGTGTAATAATGTTGATAATTTGCATGTAAAACACTTTGGCACAATTGGCACAAAAATGGACCGCTTGTGCCGAATGTGCCCATTAGTCACAAAAAAGCCCCCAGCATCAAAATGGTTTCACCTAAAGGTCTAAAATTTCATACAGTTGTTGCCAACACCACAGACATCTGCTCTGGTGAGTTTGAACAACATATCATAAAGTATGTCTTCAGGAGAACCTTTTGAAATTGCCTTTTTTTTTTCGAGACAAAAAAAACTAACTTTTACTCATGTTTGAGAAGGTGTAGTGCAGACTGTGTCCTTCCTAACAAACTGTAACATACATTTCCAGAAACTAGAAGGTGTTACCTTTCAAATGAGGTCTCATAACACAAGATCAGACACAAGATGTCCACACAGTAAGCATTTCTAATTGGGTATCATAATTCGAGAAGAAACAGGCGAAATTAGGTGATCCTTAAGGGGTTAAAAAAATAAAACAATCCCAGACCACATCAATGATAATAATAACATGTGCATAACAGTGGTTTCCCTCTCTCTCTCTACAGATGTCGATAGTGATGATAGTGATGTTCCTGGTTGCCTGGTCTCCTTACTCCATGGTGTGTCTGTGGGCTTCCTTCGGTGACCCCAAGACCATCCCAGCCCCCATGGCCATCATCGCGCCCCTCTTCGCCAAGTCCTCCACCTTCTACAACCCCTGCATCTATGTCATCGCCAACAAAAAGTGAGCACAGCCTGAGTGTCTATGGTTGCTTAAATATTATCTTCTTGCCTTTGTCATGGGTTGGAAATGAACTTTGTGCAGGTTCAGAAGGGCCATAACAGGGATGCTTCGCTGCCAGACCCGCCAGAGAGTGACCATCAACACTCAGGTTCCCATGACGATCTCTCAACAGCCGCTGACCCAGTAAATCAACAGCACCAATACGTAGCCAAGATCTGTCCACGCTCGCCGTTTCAACTTTTATTTGCTGTCGGTGTCGATGTTATGTGTGGAGTTTACTGTGTAAATCCCCATGGCTGTGCCGTGTGTCCCACATACACATAACACTACAGCCGCCGCCGTGTGTAGACTGAACTAGTGTTGAAATAAAGTGACTCTTTCTCTAATATTTTGTTTTTGCATGCTTTCACTCCATACACAGTGGTAATAAACTGCTACTGTAGCCACAGCTGCCCTGGGGCACACTGACAGAAGCAAAGGCAACCACCACACACACACACACACACACATTCTATTCAATGTGGATGAATGTGGGTCTTACCTAAATACACAACAACAGTTTGACACCCAGAGGTCTCCCATCACAGTAATAACCTGCTTCAGAAGTCTGACGGGATCTGGCTTTCTCATGCAAGTATAGCCACGCTGTATATTGCTCCACACGTTCTTTCCTAACTGAGATTACATTTTCAGCAAGTCCTGGGACATTTAGAAGTCACAAACTTTAAGATTCATGTCATAATTTTAATTGTATACACACAATAGTGATCAGAAAGCTTCTTGGTTCTAACATTTTAAAGGTTGTCATAGAAAAAATAAAATAAAATCTCAAAATAATACAAAATCAACAATGACACATAATGCACAGTACAAAGAGTGAAGGTGGTGGGTCCAGTGCTGAGTTGGGACTATACCGCATTGTTGTTCAGCCACACTTTGATCTCGTCCTGGTTTTGCCGCATCCAGTCCATGTTGTTCTGGACGGTCTCCAGGGCCTGCTTCCTGGGCATCTCCCCTGCCCCAGCGTCGGGTGTCAGGCTGAAAAAATTCTTCATCTGCAAAACAAAAACAATACTGTAAATAATCAGCAGCAGAAGAAATGCAGTCAAAGTGTTGTGAGGCGTCTGACCTTCCACAGCTGCAGCTCTGTGTTGTATGTGGTGCTGATGGAAGTCAGGAGGCGACCCAAGTTCCTGTCATTGATCGTGTATCTGGGAGAGAAAACAGCGCTTTCATTCTGAATTCAAAATTCTGTTGAAATAATACAAAATGTAACAATTACACAGGATTGGTGCTGTGTAGGTCCACACTACACTCTTATGTAGCATTACAAATAATTCAGCACCGACGGCTTTAGGGCAGTAAAGCTGGGCTACCCGACTTTAAAACCACAACAACTGAATTACAAGTAGCTCCTCAATTTGAAAACAGTTTGATTTTAGCACTAATTTTCACATGCATGGCACTTTAACCTCAAATTATCAAACAGAAAAGTGAAAAATAGGACCACCCTCACTCAGCCAATCAGCTCTCAGCCCAAAACGCCAAACAGTTTAGTTACATTAAGCAAAAGATAACATGTTTTATGATGAGAGGAATTTTAAGAAGGAAAACACATCCAGACCACACAGCTTTTAGTTCCCTTTAAGGATTTATTCATTTATTCCCAACTGTGAATAAATATTAGTGCTAGCTAAAAGTTGTGTGATCCTTCTTTCGAATTTTCCTAAGGAAATGAACACAGCATGCTCTGATATTATCCCACATTTTACTTTGACTCTTTTTGTTGGGACAAACAACAAACTTAGGTCCCTCAGCTGCTCGAATCTGCAGAGACAGTAGTGTAAAGTCTAGTTGACCTACATATACTTTATGATCGAGGTGATTTAGATATTTGACTCTTGTTATGATTAATGACAGATTTAAGATTTTTACAACAATTGATTTTTGGCATTAATATCCATGCACTTTGGAGGCAAGTTTTTATTGTTTATTTGGAGGTGGCATTTGTTGAGGAGTGAGTGAGTGAGCCTGTGTGCGTGTGTGTGCGTATGTATGTATGTGTGTGTGTATGTGTGTGTGCAGACTGACCGGCTGACCAGGTAGTCCCAGTTGAGCGTGGTCCAGTCCCAGGCCATGTTCTGTCCCAGGCGGTTGTACGACACGTAGCGCACCAAAGTGAACAGGTCCTGACTGCGAACCACGCTCTCGTCTTTGGAAGCCTCCAGAAGCCTGCCGCACAACACGCACCTCATCAGGCAGTGTCTTCACAAGCTAGCAACAGCTAAAGGAAACTGACACTTTTTTACATTAATAAATATGTGAATAGGCTACACTCAAAGAAACAGACAGTAACTTCTACAGGCAGCAAGTTACACATTATAAACCAAGCAGACAAAGTAGGAGTCCAAGTTTGTGGAGAAACAAGGCCACTCACAATAATGTTTATATATTTCTATTCCATTATTAGTAAAATGCTACAGACTTGCAAATATGCTAATTTAGCTTGTTAAATGTATTTACCCGTAATGACTCCACCTTTAGCTTGTTCAATCCATTTTTGATTACTATTTTTAAAGGTTGTTTTGTAATCTCTAATCCCAATATGCACATTAAAAGTTCTTCTGGATCCTTATTTTAAGATGTGGATATTAAAATGGCAAAATATCTGATGAGTTGCAAAGAAAGTGTGTATAACCTGTTGAGGAGGTCCACGTTCTCCACAGAGGCCAGTCCATACAGCAGCTTGTCCTTCTCCTGGGCCAGGGTGCTGGTGGTGTATCTTTGGAACATTGTGTTCCACTTGGCCTCGGTGCCGGACCTCCTCATGCCGTAGCGGTACACGAGCAGACGGAGGTTCACCGCAACATTACTGTAAGGAAAATACAAGGTTTTAGTCTAGGCTTGTGAGTGCACTGTACTGAGTCAAGCTTTATCAGGACTGTATCCATTAGTGAGATACCTCAGATTCCCATCGATCCACTGGTCAAACAGTTTAGAAGCTTCGTTCAGTGCTGCAGTGTCTCCCATCTTACAGGCAATGCCCAGGACTGTCTCCCTTAGCAACCTGCACGCATACAGCACCCACCCTGAGGACCAGAGCAAACCAGGGGGAGACCCCCTCTAGGGCTGCAATTAATCATCATTTGATTATCATTTAGTTGGCTGATTATTCTTTAGAGTAATCCATTAGTTGTGAATATTGGATTTTTATATTTTTGCAGTCATTATTGACTGATCAAAGTCATAAAACCTTGTTTTAGTTAATTCAAATAAATACAAATCAACTACTAAATAGGTTAACTATTTCAGTAATTGATTAGTTGCGATTCATCGTTTCCCTGTTGCTTCTGGCCACAGTACCTGGTTGTTTGGTTTCCCGTGTCCTCCCAGCCCAACTCAGCAGCGATGGTTGTAACGTGGTCTCGGAACATTTTCTGCGGCAGAGACACATCAAAACACCTGGTATTAGACTTTCAAGAGTTCAAAATGTGCATTATGAATTAAGTTAGTACATATTTGGTATGGTAACTACATCATTGGAAAGACGCTGAAATGTTAGAAACACAACCTCTTCCTGGGAAAAGGGAATAAATCCAACTTCAAATGGATTTAAGAAAATGAGCTGTGTCTTACCTGAAACAATGGATAGATGGCATCATTACTGGACAGCATGTCCTGGACATATGTTATCGAGCTGGACACAGTGCTCCACACGATGTAGTCCGTCTCCTTGGCGAGATACTGAGTGAGATTAAAGGCATTTCCGTAGTCGATTACGTTTCCCCTGAAAACAGAAATCTGTTGAATCAACTATCGGTGTTTATGGAGATATAATGAATTCAATTTGCCAACAGCTAACCTAGCAAGAGCAAAGACGTCATCAATGAAACTCGTTCGGTCGGCTGCATCAAATTCCTGTAAAAGCAGAACAAAAGTGTTTACCTTGCGGGAGAGGGTCTGGCAACTGCTTTTCTGAGGTTTCATCTGTTTTTTATTATTTCCGTTCTAATTCTCTGATTCTCTAATCTGTTGTTAGCAAATCTGTAAAGTCCGCAAAGACGACAGCTGTTGTGATTTAGGGCTGACCATTGGATTTGGAGACACTGGTCTGTGGGTGGATTGCAGATTGTGACCAACACGTTTCGTTTCTAGTGAAAAAGCAGCTCACCTTATGATCCAAGAGGAGCTGCTGACTGATGGCCGTCCACACGTCGTCGTCGTGGTTCACTCTGTAGAAGCCGATGTGGTCGTTGTTCACCTTCAGCAGTCCGTCCACCGAGGGAGAGTATTGTGACCCAGGGACCACGAGCTCTGAACGACAACACAACATTAGAATCCACTGTGGCTGATTGTAAACGTCGCCCCCATCCACACAGTTCTGATCCTACCTGCTTGTGCCTTGTCAAACATTACTACGAAATCCTTGTTGCTTTTTATTGCGTGGAATTCAACAGGCATTGTCCATTTATAGCTGCAAGAAACAAATAATTCAATATATAAACGGATTGGGTTCATGAACAAAGAATGTGTCTCATACTGTGTACAGATATATACATACATATTTTTTGCACCAGAATATAGTTTTTCATACTTGCTTCTGAATTAAGCTATAGGATTTTCTACTCAATTCCTGCTTCATTATGCTAAATTTGGAGAGTGTATATTTGCTTGTATATTAATGCTAAAGCTAGAGATGTTATACTTGCTTCCTTTTTATGCTCAAGTAAGAGAATTTATTTTCGTATAGTTTTATTTTCATTCATCTTGTGTTGTGTGCTCCAAAGTCCCACTGTCTCATGTTTAAATTATATGAATGAATATCACTGTTTAAATCTGTGGTACTTAACTTTCAAAGCAAAAATAATCAGATTGTGTAATGAAATCTATGTAGCGATAGTTCCTCACTCAAAAACAGTTCTGTTCTTTGACTGGTTTTTACATATTTGAGTTTCTTTGGCCTCTGTCACATCTTTAGCTTAGAAAAGTCACAAAGAAAGAACCACCCTCCCTCAGCCAGACAGATCCCACCCCAAAGAGTCAAACAGTGACTTAAAGAACTCTTTCATCTGCGTTTCTTAGTAGTAGGCAAAAGATTTATAATAAAATTAAGACTGCGTTTTTTGGTCTGATTTGTTCACAACCCTTAACTTTTAAAATACTCTGTTGGGAGAAACATAATATATTATGTCATGAAAGAAGAAACCTGGGATACCTAACTTTATTTAAGTTAGGTACCCAAGCTTTTGTTGTCGGTGTGAAGTCTTTTAGTTTTTGAAGTTTATGCTTCAAATGACTAACTTCACAATAGCTTCAATATTTGCTTTTTAACAAGATTAGATTTGAGACGATTGACAGCATTGAACAAGAGATTCTTTTTCAAAAACAGTAAAGTATGAAAGATCTGGGAGTTTGTCTTGGTGGTTCTGACCCGAGCGGAGAAGGGGGCGTGCTGGCGTCTGCAGAGGGGTCCAGGAGGAAGCGTGTCTGGGTGAGTTTGGTCGCGGCCTCAGTGACGGACAGCTTCACCACCGGATACCCCATCTGCTTTGTCCATGTGTCCATCACGTCGGCGACAGGCAGCCCGCTTACCTGAGAAGACAGACCAGAGATACTGGGAGGTTCTGAAATGACACTAAAATGTTCTGCTGCTACTGTCATTCTTACGGTAGCGAGTGATGCCCAGAAGTTTGCTGTTTTAGCATTTTGGAAGTAGTAATCCTTCAAGTATTGCTGCAGAAAGAAAAAAGAGGAAAGATAAATAAATAAAATACTCTTTAAATTGTTGCATTATGCTACTTTTTATGTGGATTTTTTATTTATTTTTTGCATATACAGTGGGGCAAAAAAGTATTTAGTCAGCCACCGATTGTGCAAGTTCTCCCACTTAAAATAATGACAGAGGTCTGTAATTTTCATCATAGCTACATTTAAACTGTGAGAGACAGAATGTGAATATCCAGGAATTCACATTGTAGGATTTTTAAAGAATTTATTTGTAAATTATGGTGGAAAATAAGTATTTGGTCAATAACACAAATTCAAGTCAATGGAAGGAGGTTTTGGCTCAAAATCTCACAATACATGGCCCCATTCATTTTTTCCTTAACACAGATCAGTCGTCGTGTCCCCTTAGCAGAAAAACAGCCCAAAGCATGACGTTTCCACCCCCATGCTTCACAGTAGGTATGGTGTTCTTGGGATGCAACTCAGTATTCTTCTTCCTCCAAACACGACGAGTTGAGTTTAAACCAAAAAGTTCTACTTTGGTTTCATCTGACCACATGACATTCTCCTAATCCTCTGCTGTATCATCCATGTGCTCTCTGACAAACTTCAGACGGGCCTGGACATGCACTGGCTTCAGCAGGGGGACACGTCTGGCACTGCAGGATTTGATTCCCTGTCGTCGTAGTGTGTTACTGATGGAGTAACCTTTGTTACTTTGGTCCCAGCTCTCTGCAGGTCATTCACCAGGTCCCCCCTGTGGTTCTGGGACTTTTGATCACCGTTCTCATGATCATTTTGACCCCACGGGATGAGATCTTGCGTGGACCCCAAATCGAGGGAGATTATCAGTGGTTGAAATATCATTTTGGGCTACGTTTGGGCAATTTTTTATACAGATAAGGAGTTCAAACAGGTGCCATTAATACAGGTAACAAGTGGAGGACAGAAGAGCTTCTTAAAGAAGAAGTTACAGGTCTGTGAGAGCCAGAGATCTTCCTTTCTCTGTTACCAATTACTTATTTTCCACCATAATTTACAAATAAATTCTTTAAAAATCCTACAATGTGAATTCCTGGATTTTTTTTCACAGTCTGTCTCTCACAGTTGAAGTGTACCTATGATGAAAAATACAGACCTCTGTCATTATTTTAAGTGGGAGAACTTGCACAATCAGTGGCTGACTAAATACTTTTTTGCCCCACTGTATGACCTAGAGTATGAGTATTAAGCATTTTACGTTCCATCACAGCGGTCTGTAGGAGGCTATAGGATCAATCGTTTGGAAGGTTTTCTCTGCCGTGGGACTCTCTCACCACAAAACCAACAAAATAATTGATCCTGGAGCACAGTAGACACAACCGTGATCAAAAGTTAATGCTGCCCACTGTGTCACATATTAATAAATTAACTTTTAATAATAATAATAATAATAATGCATCGGTTTTATATAGCGCTTTTCTGGACACTCAAAGACGCTTCACATGTGTCATTATTCATTCACTCCATACACGGTGGTGATAAACTACTGCTGTAGCCACAGCTGCCCTGGGGCACACTGACAGAAGCGAGGCAACCAGTATGCGCCATCGGCCCCTCCGACCACCACCAACCATTCACACACACACCAGACTCATTCTAGGCAATGGGGGTGAAGTGTCTTGCCTAAGGACACAACGGCAGTTTGGCACTTTACAGCCGCAGCCGCCCCACTGTGGCTGGTGTTCCCAGAGGTTAAGTGTCTTGCCAAGGACACAACGACAGTAGTCAGAGGGAGTCGATGGTGAAAGTCTTGAGCGGGGCTTGAACCCACGACCTTCTGGCTCAAAGGCCAATGCGTTTTTTTTTACTTATAAAAGTTGCATAATGCACCTTTAACTAGTGTTAATCCTTATTCCTGGAAATAAACTTTAACTCAGTTTGGCTTTTGATCAAAATTATTCTTTTGCTTTTGGTCAATGTTGTTTAACCGAATACTTGTATTAGTTGACAAAACAGCTGTCTCAATAATCAGGCTGAATCCATGCGAGTTTGAGTTTTATTGTAAGTGTGAATGCACTGTGTTCTTGGATCTTGATTTTGTTTATGTTCTGGTTTGCGCCTCCTTGGATCCAAACACCACTCGTTCCCTTCAATCAACAACGCTTCAATTTTCATATAAAATAGAAATTATTTTTGTCTTTGTGATTACTTTCAATAGAGTTTTTATTCATTGCATTCAGGAAATACATGCCAGAAAATAATATTTTAATGAACAAAATGACTGAACATACCCGGCAACCATCTCTAAATTGGTCTTTCCCCATCCAGTCCTCCAGCATGCGCAGCACTGATGCACCCTGGGAAAGACACACTTTCATTGTACAGACAAATAATTTGACACGATTTATCACAATCAAACAGAAACCACAGTGTTAGTCACAAATAACAAAGACTTAAGCAAAAAACAAGCTCAAACAATCGGGAAAATGTATCTATATTTTAAGATAATGTAAGCGTCTAAATCCTAGACTGTAAAAATTAATGGACGTAGTCACGCCTTTCTCCGCCGTTCTAACTAATGGGCTAAAAATAGTGCTCTACTGGAGCTATCCAAAATGGCCGCGAGTGGTCCCGCCCACAAGAAAATTGTGAAAAAACGCATCTGCGCATGCGTCAGCCGGCGCAACTCCGTTCATTTGAACGAGAGACTTCAAAAATTCACAGCGAGTAAACTAGAGTGGACCAAAAAAATCCACCCCCCTCAGCATTGACACACATGTGGAACGGAGCTTTGGGCCAAGAGCCAACTTTTGGTCCATCCTGTAAAGACATTTTCGAGAGGTCACCTAATGCTATATGTTAGCATTGGCTAATTCTTTTTCTGGGTCCACCCCCATCGGCCCGGGGTGTTATTGCAAGCATGTCAGCGCACGTCATTTTGGCCACTTTTGAGTCAGGACCTGCCCCACTGGTCTAAATTCAAGTTTTTTTTAAACAAATATCTTATAATTTTTGGTGTGTATCCATTATCATTGGCAGAATTTGTTTGTTGTACAATAGACACTTAAGAACCTTTTGTGAAATGTATGTGAATTGTGAGTAAGTAAGAATTATTTACAGAAGTGGTTTCAGGGTTAGATTATGTGGGTGCATGCGGTTTTCTGTCCCAGTGCAGGTTTGATTCAGACAAGGGGTTTGTAAAAAGCAGCCATTTGAATACCCAAACTTTAATCTATTCACTATACACACACAATCCGACTTTTATAACATTGTGAATCGGATATTGGTCAGAAAAATCGCATTCATAAATCTTACCTTGTTGTAGGAGATGGCGTCGAACACAGAGGTGATCTCGGCCGGAGTGGAGACGTTCACGATGATGGGGTGAGAGGAGAGCAGCGCGTCGTCCTCCATCACGGGGAGAACGTCGCTGATGATCATGATGTCTCGCTGCAAGAGTGAAAACACAAGGATTCAAGATTTCATTTGCCATTTGCAGTAAAACCAAATTGGAAAAACTGTCCAAGACTATCCCAGTGTGCACCAGACAGAGCAGATAGTACACACTAGAGCTATTGTCATGGAGGCAAGAGGAGGAGGTTTTACATTACTGCTAGACTAAACACATGCCATGTTGACCGTTTATTTGACTAAAAAGGGGGCATAAATACATATAGGGGTTCGATAATTATCCGCTGTTTTTTATGTATTTTTCTTTGTAATCAGATCAAATATATGTTCTATTCTTTCTATACATATAAAGATGGCAAACCTGTTTACTTAAATATAATCCCAATGAAGTACTTTGGAAATGTATTTTATAAAATGTGGAATGGATTGGATTATAAATGTCACCCGAATCTACTGCTAGTGTTTTCGGCCCTCACCATTCCCCATTCCGGCTCGGCTTTCTCCACGCCCACATACTCGAAGAAGCTGGCGAAGCCCTCGTTCAGCCACAGGTCGTCCCACCAGTCCATGGTCACGATGTTTCCAAACCACTGCAAAGAAGAGGGACACGTCAGGCTCCACAAACTGTCAAACTGTAAACTTCACAGAGTAGGCCTGTAGTGGATTAGATGTACATCCATTTATATATAAAGTACTACAGGAACATTATGGGTGATCCAGTGCAATAAGCCATAACAGGAAGACAATTCAAACAATCTGAATAAGCAAAAATAGAAAATGTGTGTCAAATAAATACATGAATACATATTAGTACGTGTGCAAGATTATTCATTCATAGAAAAGATAACATATGACTAAATCAGACTCAACCAGGGCTCGGTGCCTTAACAAATGAAAAAGTTCTAAGCAGATGCCTCTAGAGAATACTGGAATACAGGGTCTTGGGGGATTTCTTTTTAAATTCTAGACTTCTAGACTAATAAACTTTCCTAATAGGCTTTTAAATAGAATTCTATGCCTTTTTTGAGGAGTCACTTTTCTGCCAACACAAAACCAAACTGTACTATTTTACTTTAAACTACTACTTTAAACATAACGACCACCAAGTTGAATATTTACTAGAGAATTTACTAGAGATGTATATGGGAAGTCGATGAGTTCCACACGGCCCCGTAGCCACAGCTGCCCAAAGAATGACAGGCCTCTAATCTCCAGCAGCAGCCTGTCCAACCACCATCACACTTCAGGCTGATAATAAACTTCCTGAACTGAAAAAGTGGGTGAAGTGTCTTGTCTCCCGCTGACCTCCCATTGTCAAAAAGTAATAGAAATACGAGGGCCAGACCATAATAATAGGTTTTTCCTGTTATCTCCTTCAGCTTCATTGACCCTAACAGCGCTTCACTTGAGTCACACTCGTTTCCAATCTAATCTCGAACTGTTTCCTTGTCGTCGGGTTAACTCAAGGCCACGCGCAGTAACTCACTCGCCTTTTACGATGGACCTCTGATCCATTTGACTCTGAAACGCTCCATAAAGGTTTTATGAACTGTCTTCGAGCCTCACATCTCGCCTCGTATCTGACAAAGACATATTTCCTATCAGATCGTAAAGTTAACACCGGCTCATCACTCTCAGACGGACTATGGACTTGTGCAGAATGTTTGGTAAGAATGATAACCATCACGTGTAATTGGTCCAATTTAAACACAGATTCTTGTCTTTTTGTTATTTGCGTTTACAAACCTGAATATTGTCTTACTTTTATCTCAGCACTTTGGAATCTGGTATAATACAAGGTGCTATGTACATAAAGTGGATTAGATTGGATGGTAATCACATTATTGACAATAAAGGTCCCTGGGAATTTAAATGGAGATAAAAAATAATAATAAAAAAATCATATTGTGGTTAAACTTTACAGGTATCTAACATTCAGACCAATGACTCACAGTTTTATAATGTTGTTTTAAAAAAAAGAAAAAACTGGTATAATGGTTTGATTTTCTAATATGTTGTTGGAGATTTGACAGTTCTGTGACCCCAGTTGTAAATATGAGCTATACAAAAGAAATTGGTTTGACAGCTCTGAGCCCAAAGTGTCAAATAGAGACTCCCAGGGTTTTTCCTGAGTTTGGACGGAGGTGAAGACACGAAGCATGTGGAGGTTTCTATAAAAGTCATATTTTGGACTTTAAATTGTTTTTGGTGTTGACTTATGACCGAAGACAATAATAAACACAATTGTACGTTTTCAAGACTCTTTCCGTTGGGAGAAATAAATCGCAAAAGTTAGGCACCCCCTGAACAAGTCAGAGTTGCTTCTGCACAGGCCCCTGCCACACGGTTATGTTCCAAATGGTTAAATACATTTTATATATTTGATCAAAGCTATGTTATTATTATTATCTTATGTCACTATAGCTCTGATTGGGTGCATTTCCTCTGGTGTACTGCTGTTTAGTTCTGTACTGTATCGTGTTGTTTAGTGTTGTTTAGTGTTGTAAAGTGTTGTTTAGTGTTGTTTAGTGTTGTATAGTGTTGTATAGTGTTGTATAGTGTTGTATAGTGTTACCTGGTGGACCAGCTCGTGGGCAATGACGCTGGCCACTCTCTGCTTGTTGTAGGAGGACGACTGGTTCTCGTCGTAGAGCAGGTTGGTTTCTCTGTAGGTGATCAGGCCCCAGTTCTCCATGGCCCCGGTGCCAAAGTCAGGGATGGCAATCTTATCTGCACCGCAGAACAGAAGGAGGGTGGTTGTGCATGTACAGTTAGCATGTCGGGAAGCTCTCAACAATAGACATATGACTCATTACACACAAAATGAGATATATCGCTTATATATATCTTTATTAGTTGATAATGTTAATAATTGGTTCACAGTAAAAAACACACATAAAACAAACAGAATATTCAGAAAAAAAAGGACCATGAGCTATAATTATCAAAATTGTAATAAACAAAGGATTGTGTCTCTCTGCATGAAATGAGTCTATGTCACATTGGTTTTAAATAAACAACTAAACTAAAACAATAGATATTAAAACTGTAATCTGTTATCTGTGTAGACTGTTGGTTTATACCCTCAACTCTGGGAACTCAATTGTTTATGAAACATACGGGAAAATAAAGAGATTTGGATTTGAAAATGGCTTTACCGAGTTTGGAGATGCTGTAGTTCATGTTGAAGTATTCCTCAAAGTAGTCAAAGATGATCTTGGTGGTGTCTGCAGCGTACTCTGCAGTGTGCAGCTGAGTTGGCTGAGCCCAGATTTTCAACTGAACAAAAGGAAAAGATGATCTGATTTTGTCCAGACTATCTGGATAGTGGATGCGTAGTGCACTCACAGGTATTCCTCTGGCAGACGTCCTATCCACAGACTTAAACTGGTGCACAGCAAAGCAGACCAGGTACGTGCTCATGGGGACAGACTTGGTGAAGGAGGTCTTCCTCTTGTTTCCAGATAAAGACTCTGCAGCGCCCTGCAGCACAAGAGCCGTCACAGAGCAGCACAAAGCTTTAGGACAGTGGATGCACACATGCTGTTATTAACACGTTTCACTGACAGTACTAATGTGTGTGGATATATATACAATATATAAATACATATATGCGCAATCTCCGAAGTCTCGGCCCAGAAATGTGCAGTGCTAGGCACATCGCAGAACCCTCTAGCATCCTGGTCTGTGGTAGAGGACCCAAGTTTAGAAAAATAACAGCCCACCGAGGGGGAATATAGCAAATTATATATGAAACATGTTAATAACGGCGTTAATGCAAACTAATATTAATGGCGGATTATTTTTTATTGTGCTGCTAATGCGAGCACAAAAGTGCCTCAGCTGTTGTTGTTCCTGTAAAGTCTATGCAGAAGTGTAGAGGACAGAACAGGCCAAAGGACTCAGGTGTACAGTATGTGTTTGTCCTCATGGTCTCTGTGGCAGAGGAGGCACAGGTCATTTTGGTCTGACAAGCATCTGGCCGCTGTGCGTCTCTCTGCTTGAGCCGGGTTAATTCTCCAATGAATGAACCCGTTTACGCACGGACCACGGCTGTAGCCGATCATAAAGACAACACCCACATTAATCCAAGATCCAAGATCCAAGATCATAGCTCAATGGTTTCTTTAAGAGTAAATCTTGGTTTGATAAAGTGTCAACCCCTGTTCTTTCCACTGTAAAAAGAAATAACAAAAGAGATAACACAATGCTTTGTTTTTGGAGGGGATTTGACTAGTATAAAATCTGTTCTTCATCCAATGCCTTTTCAAACCAAATTAATTCAATTTAGAACAGAGACAAAAGTTATCAGAGATGAAATAGTAAAACTTTTATCTGTATTTAAATTGTGGTCTATTGAGGTCAGCAGAGGTTTAGCAGAGTCTGATCAAGGCGTTACATCCTTTACCTCCTGGGGCATGTTGGACAGAGCCTCGTAGGCCTGGTCATGGGTGATGGACACTTTGTAGGTGGCCTTCTTGTTGGGCTCGTCAAAGCAGGGGAAGGACTTGCGGGCATCGGTTGGCTCATGATCGGTGGCTGCGATCTTTCTGTAAGATTATAAATATGATTTATGACACGTTTTATGGCCAGGAGCAAAGTCACTCGGGCTATTGTTGCTGGGAATCACAAGCCATAAGGTTACGTAGACGAACACTATGTACGATCTAATGAAGAGTCCACCTCAACACTTAATGTCATACAAGAAATCACATTTTATTGGTGATTGCAGAACATTCCAGGTCCTAACTTTTTAAGCAGAAATTTGAAACAAAAACAAACAAAAAGGCTGTTTTTTAACTAGACTATCAAAAATATTCTATGTTCAAAAATGTATTATCCAAATGTTGTGGTTCATTGAAAGATCTCAAGGCTGAGTCAAGTAATTATTTATCAGTTAAAATTATCCGCAAACAAACTTCATTGACACCTCCTCTAGAAGTGAATTAAGACTTAGCAATTGTAAAACCAACTATATCTACCAGTAATTGCACTCAAAAAGTGAGTCTATGGTTTTTCTTGTAAATAATCAGAAGTTAAGCTGATTTGTTACCACTGTGGGACAAATAAAGGATCTCTTAATCTTAAGTTAGATTTAGTTACATCTCTCATAATAAAAAAATGACCTAATGAGTATTTCCTTATCTAAAAGTTGTGTTCTGAGAGGACAGTCATAATGACAGGGCAAGATCAGCTGACGGTTATGGTGACACCAGACGTACAAACAGTACTTTTAGAATCAGCAACATATATTTATGTTCGCTTCACTGTTCCTATTACTACAAAACAGTGCAAATATTCTCAGAATACCAGGATAAGCAAGACACTAACTCACTAGAACTCTAGTCATTTAGAACACTAAATCAGGAGAACTCTTTCTTCTCAATCTGGGCTTGTATTGGAATCCAGCAAATTATTAGATTAGTTGAAGCTGGGGTACCTAACTTTTGAACAACAAAGAATTGAGCTTGGTAATAACAAGTTAGCTCTCTTTCACTTAGGCCACTCAGCCCAAAGTGTCAAATATTGACACAATATTGGGGGCAGTATTAAAAATATTAAAAACATTGTAGATAAAAACCGAATGTTGTGTGATTTGTTCACATTAACTGTGCGGTTGAGACAAACAAAATGGTTTCTTTTGAAACAAATAACCATTAGGTACCCCAGCTTTAACGATGTAGTGTATCACAAGTGCTGATCTGGCCTAAGTGAAAGAGAGCTAGCTTGGGTAATAACAAGTTAGCTCGCTTTCACTTAGGCCACTCAGCCCAAAGTGTCAAATATTGACACAATATTGGGGGCAGTATTAAAAATATTAAAAACATTGTAGATAAAAACCGAATGTTGTGTGATTTGTTCACATTTAACTTTCTGTTGAGACAAACAAAATGTGTTTCTTTTGAAACAAATAAATTAGGTACCCCAGCTTTAACGATGTAGTGTATCACAAGTGCTGATCTGGCATCCAACAAATATTTGGTTTATAATGTCACTAATACAGGTTGTTTTTATTTATTGTTTGTCTTTTAAATCTCTTTAATGTTGTTGTGCATCATACGGTTATTGTGTACATCTCTATCTAATAAAAACATCCATCCATCCATCTACTTCCCCTTAATTCATTTCTGGGTTGGGAGTGGCAGTCAGAGTACACATAGCACCAGCCCCTCACTGATTCTCCTTGAGCCTTGACCTTCCAGCGGGGGCTTCAGGCAAAGTGGGGTTAAGTCTCTTTCCCAAGGACACAACGACAGCATGCACCAGTGGGAGTCAGTAGGTCTTACATTGGGCTCGAACCCCCGACCTTCGGGCCCAAAGGCCTCTACCAACTGAGCCACTGTCACCACCTGATTAATAAAACAATAAAAATCTAAATCCAACCTTACACTAGAGGCAATAATCCACTAATGGTTCATTTAGACATAAACGTAAAATAAACTATAATATATGGAACCGTTTTTTTTTAAATGTACAAACAAGATTTTACCTATTATAACTTACAATAATAATACATAAAAACACTTCATACACCTCAGAAAAGTCACACACCCGCCAGGTTTCTAAAAATATAACATAAGATAAAACCTTATCAATCTCACAATGAAGTAACATTTACCATAAATAGGATTACTCTGGGTGTGCAGAAAGACAGGAAAATGTGCAATATATATGATTAAAGATGAGTTAAAATGAACTCAAACCACTATTTAACCATTAAATCAAGCTTAAGATCACCCTGCACAGCATTTCCAAACACAGATAACAAATCAGAGTATGTCATTAATACTTACTTGGTCTGGCCTCCCTCCGTGTACACCACTCGGTAGAAGCCCACCACGGACCCGGTCAGCACCCCTTTGAAGTCCAGGCTCAGCACATAGACTCCGGGGGTCAGAGTCTTCTCAGCCTCCACCACCACATACTCATGCTGCTTATACTCAAAACACCGGGTCACCCCCACCTGCGCTCCGTCCCCGAGCCTCAAGCGGGGCAGTGCGCTCACATAAGTCTGCCTGATGTGCATCCACAAGTGCTTGGTGTCCCGGGTAACCTTCACCTCTATGTCCACCGTCCCAGAATATGTATCGTCCACCATGTTTGGCTCCAAGTGCAGATCGTAGTGCGTTGGATTGACGTAGTCGGGCAGGCGAAAGTTCTTCCAATCTCCGCTCGAGTCGTTCGTTGGCAGGCAAGGCCCTCTGGAAGGCTGGGGCGGCTCTGTGGGGGGCACCGTTGGAGGTAAAGTCGTTGGAGAAGTTGTGCTGGATGTCCTTGATAGTCCTACCCCTAACCCCACAGCGAGAGAGCACACCGCCACAGTGGCACAGATGATAGCGACATGCTTTCCTCTCATGCAGTAGGTCTTGTCCGGCTTCTCCATGTCCATGTTGTTGACCATTTTGACCCGGCAGGATGCTGTATGGGCAGATGAGAAGACGCTACATGTGCAAATGACACAGAGCGCACAAGAGTGGAGCGAAGGGGCGGAGGGTAAATAAGAGAGGAGAAGGAGGAGGAGGAGGAGGCCACTGGAGGATGTGTCAGAAAGCAGCAATAACATCAACACGCATTGTGGTAAATCATCCACCAAACTGTGCGGTGCAGAGTCAGCAGGTGTCCCATTATATGCATGAAAACACAAGCATTTCTCATGTCCCGGGCCGATACCAAGTGATCCATGTATTTGTATTTCAAAATTCTTCATAGTGTGTTGACTTCCACTTGGATCTCATGCTGTTTTGGACAATGTCTTGGAAAGGCAATCGCTCAGCAGTTAAGTGCAGAGTCCATGGAAATAATGAGTTCCCTGATAATAATGACAATAAAACAACTAAAACACATTCTACAACACGGAAAGTCATTCTGGTTATGCGCCAGCGGATTCCAACTATATCACTACATCTCAACAAGATCAATGTGAGCCCCGCAAGTTATCAACAGATGGAGAAATAGATGGCATACTAGCATGCCTATTTTTTTAGCCAAGAAAAATGACCCGTACGCTTCCTACTCTGTGTTTGGAATGCACATAAAAGATAGAAAACACCGAGATGGATATTGTAAAATGCTCCACCGCAATGGAAATAATGGAAGAAAACGTATGTGCCTGACAAAAATAGCAATTTCTCATTTCATTGGAATGCAGTAACAGTAACATTCTAATCATCACGCTATGACGACTTTGCTTTTTTAGTAAACTGTTGAAAGAATCCTCCTTAATAACATCTGACATTTCCAAACACATCCCTTTTTGTTTAGAAGCGTGGCTCTTTCCCATAATGTAATCACACTCAATTTCATATACTAGGCCTAGATCTCGGAATAGCGGCGCATGGAAGAATAGTGCATCTTCAAGGCATTCTACACCACTTGAAAGCCTCTCTGTAGAGTGGAGTTGCTTGGTGGTTTACTGTCTAATTCTTTCTGTGGTCTAAGTTTGCGTCGCTTTGTCTTTTCAATAATTCTTGGCGTGCTTGAAGAGGTCAAAGTCTTGTTAAGTGCTGTGGAGTTTTGTAGTTTTGTGTCTTGTAATGTAGAGTTGAGAAGAGGAACCTGGCTCGGTCTTCGGTTAGACTTTGGGGTGAGGCGTTTAGGAGAGGAGGGGGGTTTCAGTGGTCTGTTCGATCGACGGAGTCCGACTATCCGGAGTTTGATGGGGGCCTCGGATATGCCGGCCATGTTTCTGGCCTGGCAGCGGTATTCTCCAGCGTCCTTGTAGGTCAGACCGTTCAGGCTGATGATGGACCAGCGCACGCCGACCCGAGGACTGCCCTGCATGACTGTGGGGGGAAGCAGAGGTGCAATGATGAGTGTTCAATATATAGATAGATTCCTTAATGATCCCCCGTAGGAGAAAATCATCCATTTCTCATGTATACATGAGAAATGTTTCTCATGTAACATGTATAGCCTGTCAGACGGGTTTGATTCTGCTAGTTTGGACTTTCAATTGATACAATTGAATACATCATTCTAAAAGTGAGAGACAATAGTAGTAAAACACCTTCTCAGCCAAATAAACAACATGTATAGCCTGTCAGACGGGTTTGATTCTGCACATGATTCTGCTAGTTTGGACTTTCAAAATGATTTGATGATTTATGGGAAAAGGCTTTTTTCATTTTTATTTCTTGGGTTTTAGGTCCAGAATGAAATATATGATATCGTAAAATAGCTTGGCATATATAACTCCTATTCATTTAAATGGATTGAACACAATATGATTTGGATGGTAAAGGTCTAAGGTAGAGGGACAATATTTCAAATATTTAATACGTCTATCGGTCAACATCTAGTTTCTAATCTAACTTTGTCAGTTGGGGAAAATATAACATACATAAAATCCCGTTTTGTAATTTTGCTTTCATAAAGGTCAGATTTTGTGGGGATTTTAGTGTCCCTTGTCATCCTGAACTTTGTTTCTTCTTAAATCCTTCGGTTTTCTTTACTGCCACAAACTCTGCTCCTTTCCTTCCCGCTCTGACTCCGCTCTACCACTGCTCTGATCAGCAGCTCTGATTGGTCAGAGAGCGGCCAAGCCCCTCTGTGCACGTGCATGAGAGCCACACACGCGTATTTGGCGCAACGCATCAAGGGAACTCGTCAACTGCACAGAACCAGGAGGACCAGACGATGCCCAAATATAGGCGAGTTCTGCTAATCTCCAGGTCCCCGTGAAGTCCCATGCGCTACTGAGCACAAGCCATTCATTTGTGTGATGATATATCAATTTTTTGATATATTGCGAAATTGCGATACTTTCTCCCGCGATCGATTATCGATATGCATTTGCCAAGTATCAATTTAGAAAAAAAAAAATACTTAATATATGGCTACATTACACCATCTCCATTCCATTTATCATGAAATAAAGTGTATTTTTTCACTGAACATTTTTCTATTTTATGTATCCCATATATTGGCATATGGTATATTGCTGACTAATATATCGATAATCGTCATATCGTGATATAATCGTTATCGTGAGCTTTGTATCGCGTATCGTATTGTGTCGTGAGGAACCCTTAGGTTCCCACCCCTATTTGGTAGGGTACCATCTTGGATCACCGGGGCTTGGTAACTACTCACTGGCCTCTCCAAACATGCTGTTTAACAACTGCAGTACCAATCCCTGCAGCTGGACTCCGGACTAAAACCAGGAAGTATGATCACAATAGTACAGTTCTCAGGTTTCTGCACTGGCTTCCTGTAGCTTAGAGAATATTCTTTAAAGCAGCTCTGTTTGTTACAAGTCTCTCCATGGCCTCGCACCAAAGTACATTTGAGACATGTTAGTCCCATTTGAACCAACTGGGACTCTGACGTGCCCAGAGTAAGGACTAAACATGGGGAGGCAGCATTTCAGTTTGAGTCCCTGGCTATGTTTAAGTCATCACCGATGTATATGACTAATTTTGGATGCCTTTTTGTTTTATTATTTATCTTTTTATACTGTTTTAATATAGTATATTTTATATGTAATTGTAATTGTTGTCATGTTATTGTCTGTTTAAATTGACAAATTGAATTTAGCTTGTTACCACTTTAGGTTACGCAGTTAGAATTATGCTTTATAAATAAAATTGATTGATGATGACACGAGGCACGGCTTTTGTTGCTACTCACAGCTTTGCAGGTTCTTTGGCAGCTGGTCGGCGTCCTGTGGAATCTCTTGTTGGCAGCAGTCTGAACAGAGCAGAAAGATCAGCTAAAACCATTATCCTTTTCAATGAGCTAGAGCACGGTCCTGGCATAATCAGTATCCACCGGCCGCCGCCACCACCAGGGGACGTGCCAAACACAAACATGTTTTTCTTCATTTCATGGGAGGGGTTCGAGCCAAATAAGTGTCTACTTTGTCCAACCCCTTTTCAAACTGTATATTATATGTCCTTTATATACTTATTTTTGTGTGAAATATGTGTACATGGGTTTTAGATAAATACAAAAATATTTAATACAAACTTTCTTGTTAATTAAAAATCAAACCGATGTAAGTACATTTGGTCTGAATTACAATGTGTCATTACATATCATAATCTCATTTAACTTCAATTGGAGAGGATTTGAAAAAGAATGTTAAAAAATCTATACATTGTGAGTTAACTCACCATTACTAAGCAATTAATCAACTAAAAAACTTGAATTGTTTGACAGCCCTACTCATTACATAAGTAGGCCACTCTTGCCAAGTAAAAAAACATACAACCTCCTACATCTATACATCATAGTAACTTTTAAGACATATAGATGTAATGTAAGAGATTTAACTTCTGAATCAAATTATGGATTTAACTATTCCCTGAAAAACTGCTGCTAACGTTGTAAAAAACACTTATACACACATTGTGGTGAATAATTAGGTTGTGTGGAATGTGTGAGAAAGTGTGAAATAAGCTTGGACCGCTGCAAGCCGTAAAAAAAGAGTCCTGTTTTTCCATGTCAATTCAATTTGTCTCAGTTAAGACAATACAAATGGTTAGCAAGCGTTTAGGCTTTTTAGGTACATTTTGACTTGTCCTGAAGTAACATTTGCCAAAGGAACATCTTAATCGTATTTCAAGCAGTGTTGCTTTTTTGTTTTCTTTTGCCATTTTCTCAGTTATCATTTATACCTGCCACTTTACAGTGACTTTAAAACCCCCAGATTGCACTTTCTTTACACACTGAGCCCCAGACCAGAGTGTCAGAACAACCAGCTTTTATGCTGAGGTGTGAACAATATAGGTTAAATAGCAGTCATTTAGACAGCAATAGTTATTTCGTAGCCCGTTGCTTTCATGTGGGTCAGGTGAAGGAGGTTATAAACCTACACACAAGGAACAATACTTTGCTTAATGACAGCGTAACAAGAAGCTCTTACCGTCAGAGTTTGGGCTTTTGTATGTGCTGCTCTTTCCTTTATAAAGTTGCCCTTGTATGCAACTTAAAAAAATATATACTGTATGCCTCCACATGGATTAAAAACTTTCCGCTGCAACTCCCTGGAGTTTTGGGTGCACTGCGCTGTGACTTTAGAAGACTGATATTGAAATGAAAGTGTGTTTTGGCTCTTTATTTTGACACATTTCCTCCTTCCTTGCGGTGAAAAACCGACACGGTTTTATAAAAAACATGTGGCCGCAGTGAGAAAAAGCCTAATAATTCACTTACTTGTGATATGTAGAAAGCTTTACCTGTGCGTGCAGCGGTCTTGACCCAGCTGAGTGTGGGGGTGGGGTATCCTGTGGCCTCGCAGCGCAGGATGACGTTGCTGCCCAGCGGAGACAGCACGCGGGTGGCTGTGGGCTGCACAGACGGCCTCATGCAGCGGGACCACTGCACAGGCATCAGCAGAGCCCCTCCCTGACCCACCGAGCGCAGGCACATGAGCCCCGGGTCCACCAGCACCACCGAGCTGCCCAGGGACACCGACAGAGAGGCCACCATGGAGATCTGGCAGTCACACAGCCACGGGTTGTCATGGAGAGCTGGAGGGAACAGAATATTTGATTTGATTAAATTAAAAAGATGGAATTTTGGTTCATTATATTGTTCTCCTTTACTTCCCGAGTGCATTGGTTGGTGGTTTATACGGGCCGAATGTAGATTTTTTTTTTTTTTCTAACCATGTACAACAGAATAATAATCTAACTATCATTAAATTCTTGGACTTCAGTAAATGTCATCAAATCTGAACCAGGCACAGGACAGGAATCTTCTGGGTCTAAATAGGACTACACGGTTTCTATAGGTCTAGTTTTAAATGATGAGGATTGACCACAAAAAATGTTTTTAAAACAGTATATGATTTGTTTCAAATGTTCAAACACTGCGAAAAACAATTAACCGAGTTTATCTGAAAGAGCAATAAAAAAGATAATGTTTCAGGCTAAAAAAGTGTTACGTACCATAAAGTGTAAAGTCAATTTCTACTGTATTGCCCTTTCCTGCTTTTACATCAATTACTAATCAAGTGACTAGGTTTATGGAAAAAGAGAAGAAAGTTGAGTCCTAAAAGTAATCCCTCCACTTTTACTGTCATCAATACTAACAGTTCCACTGAGACTGTTAATGGACAAGAAGTTTGTATCATATTTGTATCTGCTGCTAAGTCAAACACACAGATACAATGTATCCCTTATACAATGTGAAGTATACCTAAAACTCTCCTGGGGACAGTGGTCTGCTGCTGTTGGGGCAGGGGGAACCACAGGTCCAGCAGCTCAGCAGGCAACAGACCCAGCCTGAAAAACATGTCCATCACAGAGCTACATCATTACTGAAATGTGCTGTTTAAAAGTTCAACAGTTTAAATCACTGCCATTTGTGGCATATAAGCCAAATATAGCTGGTTGGCTCTAAATGGATGGAGGTTTTAAATACAAACTTTGGCTTTTCTTTCAAGTTCATTCTACTTGATACTAATCTTTTGCCCAGATTACAATTTTTTTTTTCTATACCATTGAGCACTACTGGGAAAATAAAGCAGTAGATTATACCAATATCTATCGTGATATATCTACATGTCAATATCTACATGTTAGTTTAGAGTAAAAAGAGAATATTTAGTACAATGAATAGACAACGGACGCTGTGTCTTAATATCTTCTAAAACTTCTTCACGTCATATATGCAATTATTGTTTCTCCATCCTGACTCTGCATTACCTGTTACTAGAAAGGTCCAGGTAGGTGACGTTGGACAGGAAGAGAGCGGATTGCGCGGGGAGGCTGGACAGACGGTTGTTGTGGAGGTCGAGGATCTGGAGCCGGGGCATGTCTCTCAGCCCCTCCCAGGGAAAGGTGCTCAGCTGGTTCCCGGACAGACGCAGCTCTCTCAGGGTCTTCAGGTTGACAAAGCTGCTGGGGTGCACGGTCGTCAAGGCGCTGTAGGTCAGCCACAGGAATCGCAGCTCCGACAGGTTGTAGAAGGCAGCCCGAGGGAGCTTGGAGAGCTGGATTTTCTCCAGCCTGAGTTTGACTGTGTTCACGGGGACGTTAGAGGGGACGGAGATGATCCCAGGGTCAGCGCACGTCACAGACCTGTGGGAACATGTCAGGGCAAAAGGCAACTTATCTGGCAAGAGGCAGTTTGCATGATGTAGAATTCTATTTCAGTTGGAGAGCTGGTGTCAGTACTATGGAAACGAAGCAATTTATTAAAGAAATGTCCAAATGTTTTAACAGATAATTATTTGATAGTGATTAGATTAAAAAATCTACCATATAATTGTAAGTCCTTTTATATTGGACAACTGGACATATACAGTAGAAGGAAAATGCTTGAATTAGGTTAAATGTATCTTAGTTTTAATACATAGTGGTCTTAAAATTAGATTGTTTTAAGGCTAACACAACTGCTTTATTAATGTTTGTATTTGATATTTCACCAGGTAGTTAAATTGAAAACTTCTACCTGACTAATAGACTACCTGGTCTGTTAACCAACACAAGTACAAACGTATAGATATTATATGCACATCATAAACACACAAACAAAAAACAAATACACATGAAACGAGATTAAAACGGCTTGATCCAAGATATTTCTGAATTACATTGTATCATTTTCTGCAGATCAAGCACTTGACGCTTTTGTTTTATTGTGACTTATTCAGAAGAGGTGGGTGCAGCTGTGCAGGTTGACTCAAGTTTATCCTCTTGACATTTATGAGGCCACTTAAAATGGGGATCTCATCAGAACGTGTAGGAATTAAACCACTATCAAATGTATATTAAACATGATGTCTAAAATGCAAAACATCTACAGCCCTTGTTGACCATGAGATAATGATAATCTAGTAATAAAATAGATGGTTATCTGATGACGTCACGTACTACCCACAATTCCGCAGTTCACCATATTGTGCGTCAAGCCACCGATAGTTGTAGGTAAACAAACCGTAGCACTTTTCTTGCGCTAAACCATGCCGACTACTTGCATCGTTTGGGGGTGCAGTAACCGTACAGATTGTGGGGACATTCCGAAGGTTATTACGAGCCAGGGGAGCGACTCTCGACGAAGAAAAGAACCCTTTAGTTGGCGAGGATCAACCGACAGGGATTCAACCCTAACCCCCTGGAAAACGGCACTATAAGGTTTGTTCTGACCATTTCATAACAGGTAAGAGCTAAATCTGCACATGTGTGGTTTATATTCAAAACTGCGATTTGACGGTGATACAATATGGGCCTCAAGCGATCTCCTCTAAATGAATGAGAGGGGGGGGAGGAGGAGGGCAAAGGGTGGTAGACAGAAGCTTGTATGGCCGTGCGTGATTTACGGCCCGTGATATCGACTGCTTTGTTCAAAATAAATTCCTGATTGAAAGAAATATTGCCTCATTATACATCATGACCTTTTTTAATTGTAAAACTGTTAAGTGAAAGTAAGCCATTTCTGGCAAGGTCCACTGGTCTTGCCGCATTTCATATGGATCCAAATCTCCGATCATTCTCAATTTCTCCAAGGATCTTGCCTCACAGATTACTCCAGTGTATCAATATACTTAACTCAGCGTCGGCCGAATTTGTGGCTTTAGATGACATGGGGACAATGGGCCTCATTCACGAACGGTTCTTAGGAACAGATTTGTACGTAAATCCTACTTACGCGGTTTTTACGAAGAAAGTGGCATTCACGAATATTTCTCGTAACCAGAATTTGTCTTGGGCAAGTACAAATCCTACGAGTCCTCAGGAGCACTCGTACGCATTCAGTGCCGACATGTTCACACGCCGGGGTTGTCCTCTTTGGTGAAGTTTAATAAAAATACAACATTCCAGTGATATGTCCGTCATATCGATGTATGTATTTATTTATTTGTAGTAATCTTTATTAGTAATCTTTATTTATATACCGCCTTTTTCACTGCAGATCTGGCCTACTTTTTAATTCATTTTGAAATGAAATGTGCCAACGCTTTATCAAATACATTGGAAATCTTGCCGTGTATTAGTGACCCCTTCCTATTTATAGGGGGCATTTCTTTATCCACGGGCCACAGAACAACGGCACATATACTGCTGCTGCAGGAGGCTGCGGGGTCCGCGCTGGGTCTGCACTGGTCTCTCTCCATACGGGTCCGTGCTGCATGCTCCTGGATACATACGGGTCCGCGCTGGTCTCTCAAGTCTGGTCTATGCGGTCTATCTTCGGTCCGCGCTGGTCTCTGCGCACTGGTCTCTCCAGTCAGGTCACTCCAGTCTATGCGGTCTCTCCTATAGGTCCGCGCTGGTTTCTGTGTGCTGGTCACTCCAGTCTCTCCTCGGGTCTGCATTGGTCTCAGCGCTGGTCCGCGCTGGATCTCCTCCCAGGGTCCAAAATATTTTGAGATTAATCTCAAAACATTTTGAGATTCATCTTTAAAATAATACTCATTTTGAGATTAATCTCATCATATTCTTAGATTAATCCATAATTTTGCTAGTTCGACTTATTATCATAATATTTCCTATGCTATGGGCCTGCATTAGTGGGCGGTTACTTATGCTAAGTACCTATGCTAATGAAGCACCTGGCACGCGCGCTGTACTTACGAGGAAATGGGATTCATCAATCTGAGAGAACAGCTGCGAACAATTCAGCGGCTTACGAGTGCGTTGATGAATCCCACGTGGGGACTTTCTTAGAAATCTACTTAAAGGACGACAACTTGAGAAGAAAGTTGAGTAGTGGACTCGGTTTTGCTGTTACTTGTCTAGTAGTGTGTGGAGGAGGGGGTGCGTGCGTGAACTTGGTCTGTCCCAGTGTACGTTTTGGGTGAAGGGAGAGAGTTTTCAGATCTGTGGTCCTAGCTCCTGATATGGTGTTGGTAAAGCAGAGGAGGATCGCTCACACAATAGGAGCCACTGGACATGTCTTTCATAAGTTGGTGTCGATGCAAGAAAGTTATGTCGCACAAATTCCATGATTATAGATTTATTACAAGCATGTTTGTGAAGATTAGATTGATTAATGTTTAAAAAGATGAATATTGTTCATGCACGGCAAATAATACCACTGATATTTTTATACTGAATGCAGATGCAATGATAATGTATTGGACCTCTTTATACTAATTAATGTGCCGATTTGATTGGTTGTTATAACACCCAGGATGTTTAGAAATTCCAGAAAAATACAAAAAACTATTGCCATACTATTTGTGTACTTGTGTACAGTAATTCATTTCAGAGTAATTGATTCAATCCAACCATCAATCAACAGGTCAAATGAATATATTCTATGTTTTATAGATTTGAAAGTAAAAATAAACAAGGGACACAAAAGTATTTTGTTAAACTGGCTGAGTGGGTAGCATTCTCACTTTTCAGCAGGAAGGTCCGCTATCTCTAAATATAGCACAATAGTTCCCTGTAACACCCTCCTCCAACCCACTTAAGGTCAATAAAATAAATGATAAAGACCCCATGTATAACTGCAATTATTTAAGTGACTAAAGATGAGCAAAAACACTTGTCTCTTTATTTGAGAATATTTTGAAAATTTGCCAATAGAGTAAATATCCTTTGTCTTGTCAGGCAGAAGTATTATTTTATTACTTAAATTTTTGTTGTGGTAAATTCTACTATAAAAAGTAGTACTGTAGGTTACAACTGAAATTGTTATTTTCACTATGAACAAAATTAGAGTTAAATTTACAGGATATCGAAATGCCAGAAATACTACAATTAGATACTTTACGTAAAGAATCTGAAATCACAACTATACAATTCGTTAGCTCCACAGTGGGCGGGTACCTTTTGTGCTTTAACCAATCGCTGCTGTTTGATCGTGATGTATGTAAGAAGCAGGATAATAACGTCTTAAACTCTCCAAACATCCTTTAAATCCTCATGTTTGTGGTTTTCAAACACAGAATGTATGGCTTAGTCTCCATCCATCTTCATTGCTTTCATTACTGCTTGGTTAAGTCCTCTGAGATGACCACTGTGGTGATTTAGGGCTTTATGAGCATAAATTGAATTGCATTGAATGGTTGAATTACAAACAAGCCCTGATTGGTCAATTGGACTTCCAAGTTCTCTGAGGCATCTGCGTTTCTGCAATGCCTGACCTAGTAGCAGGAGTGACATGAAAATGACCGTAGGCATTTGGCAGACAAAACTTACACCCTTTAACTCACTGACTGCCAGCCGTTTTTGATGATTTCATTGATCCTCAAGACCCATAGAATATTATTTCCTACAACTAAGTGAAATACTTTGATCATTGTGAAATACTTTGATCATTTTTATTGTCCTGTAGCTCCCAGTCGAAAAGAGGGTCTAAGGCAAATATGTCAATGGCAGTCAATGAGTTAACATCATGTCCTTATGGTGCTTAGAAGTATTTTGATTTTGAGTTGTTTTGGATGGTCTGTTAAAAACGATTCGTGCCTATTTCAGTCTGATGAACTCTAGGCTGTTGGGAGCAGGTTGACACAGCGGCTCTGGTCGAGGGCGTGTCTAAACGTCTGTGTGTTCTTCAGGCACCGGAGAGAGCGGCAAAAGCACCTTCATAAAGCAGATGCGGATCATCCACGGAGCGGGATACTCAGACGAGGACAAGAGGGGCTTCATCCGCCTGGTCTATCAGAACATCTTCATCTCCATGCAGTCCATGATCCGGGCCACCGAGAACCTCAAGATCCCCTTCAAGTTTGAGGAGAACAGGGTACGACAGCCACGTGTGCCTTTTGTCAGAGCTGCACCAGGATCTGTGAGGAGTCGGCAGAATGAAAGCCTCCCCAAGACATACATACAGTACAAGAGTTTAGATTTCACTCATATCCAGTTGAACAGGAACCATGCAAAGGAGCCTTTAATTGTATTACAGATAAACCAATTAGCCCCACGGCAAGGAGCAGCATGGGAAAAGGCTATGCTGCTCTTTCTCCTCTCATAATTTGCTTGTATATGTTTCCATAATTTTTTCATATAAGAAAAGCTTTACATATTTTTGTTGGTGCTCTTATTTTAAAATACTTTCGTTACAGATTTGAAATATTTATGTGTAACCATATGCATGACATAGTGGGGGGTTATTTAGAAACCGAGCTGACCCGGGTGTCGGGTGCAGCTATTCAGTCCACTCTTCAAATTATTGTAACTTAATGTAATATTTTCATTTTGAATTACATCTTTTATATGTCCCCAGATCATAAATCACATGTATAAATCGTATTTGACTTTTCTGAACAGCAGTTTAACCTGGTTCTTCGGATTCAAGCTATTATCCAATCAGAGAACAGAATGAGTCTGTAATTTGGGTTACCAGTTTCTTAGGAGAAATATAGGTTGCTTTGGCTCTTTTTATTTTTTAAATGACTAAATTCACATCCAAACAATAGAGAGACATGAATAGAGCTCCAACATCACAGAAGATGCTGGCAACAAACTTTAGATTGTAATTGTTATTTCTTTATTAGAAATAGTGCATACTGCAGACTCCTTAATTTGACAAGAGATAAAACAAATTGTATTTTCCACAAAACCTGGTGCACACTGGGGGGCTTTTCCACTGCAAGTGTGGTTTTACTGTAAATGGCAAATAAAAGGAATTTGATCGGAATCTGATCATGGTACACCACGTTTAACAGATTTCCCTTTTTCTCTTTTATCTGAGTGTGGATGTGAACTTGACCTGATTGTTGCAGGCTAACGCGGGGCTGGTGAAGGAGGTGGACATAGAGAAGATCGGCGGCTTCGATGAGCCGCACATCTCGGCCATCAGGACCCTGTGGTCAGACCCCGGGATCCAAGAGGCTTACGACCGGCGGAGAGAGTACCAGCTGTCCGACTCCACCAAATAGTACGTCTGCTCCAGTTACACATTCAGATATGCCTTTCTCCTGTTTCTTCAAATTTCAGGCTGAGAAAATGACAGTCTAAAATAATTATTTATTTGTTATTCTTTATATAGATTAATTTTAATTTCGTACAGACGGCGTTTAGAAGGTAAAATGGATATTGAACTAAACTTGTGCTGTGTCTCAATATCTAATGACGACCGGCCTCTATAAATAAGTGAGCAGCTTTAGGAAATACTATTGGATCATTTATGCAACATAAATTTTAATAATTTAATTTATAATAGTTCTGCATCAGTCAAGCGTGATTTTATAAAAGAGCAACATAAAATACCACAGAAATCATTGCCCAGATGACACAACATATTAGATAAAAAGTTTTTAAAAATGGTAAGTTCTAGACAAAAACATTATTTAATTCCATCCTTCATTCAATAAAAATGTCCTCTTTATGTTTCTTGCGTTACTCTTATCAAACCGATGCACACAATTTTAAACTTAAAACTAAGGCACAAAATATATATACTTTTATGTTTTGTATCACAGACTTTAGGTTTTATGGACAACGAAGGAAAGTTAATGCAACTTAATCAGTCAGATAAAAAAATAAAAAAATAAAGTTTGATCTGTTGGAGTGTATACACTTTATAAAGCTGAGGTACCTAACATTTCCCCCTAACGGAAAGATTCTTGTAAAAGTAAAAAATTGTCTTCTGCTGTCTTCATCTCACTAAAAAACCCTTTATCTTCTGCATACTTGTAAGAAAGAGACACTTTGGTCTGAGAGCTGTCTGATATTAGTTTTCTGTCTGAAGAAGCTGATCTAGGCAAGGCAAGGCAAGTTTATTTGTATAGCACAATTTATACACAAGGCAACTCAAAGTGCTGAACAAAAATAAGACAGCATTAAAATCATAAATATAATATAAAGGTGTAACAGAGGCCAAAAACTAGGGAGAGTACTGTTATGAGGCCAAGGACGTATTCGTTTTTTACATTGTCATGTTGCTTTTTTAATTTTATTTTTATCAAAGACAACAAAACAGACGAACAAGATGAAACAAAAACACCTACAACCTGAAACGGAAAAAACATAACACAAAGACAAGAAGAAAAATATAATAAAAACAATAAAAAAGCTTTAAATGACACCTGATGATTGCTTACATATTTTCTATTGTGACCTGAATAATGTACCTCTTCTCTCTTTTGAATGTATGCATGTAATGTATGCTCAAAGATTTAGTTTAAATGTTTTGGCCATATTTTAGAGATCCTTAATATTAACACAAAAACTGGTTTTCCCACCCACTGTTAGTGATTGTGTGTATAGCCATATCTTGTCTTAATAATCTTTCAAATTATAACATGGCTGAGGCGATCTGCAGAGAGGTCAAATGTGCAGTTCACTCAAGGCGGCCCAGAAATTTACAGGCCTTGGAGGCTTTTTTGCCAAGACGAATGGGCAGCTTTTACCATCTGAGGATTAAGAACCTTACACCACAACACAGTCATAGGGGAATTAGACATTATTGAGAACTGGGAATGGGATCATTTAGTGAGTGAGTGAGAAAGTGTTTATTTATTTCGAGTTCAATGTACAACAAACACTATTATCTAATGTCACTTCATCAAATTTTCTAATATATTATTCATTATTCAATATCCACTTCTTGTACATAAAAATACATTGAAAATAAAAATCATGTTTATGTGGCAATAAATGGCTTTCACACAACCACTAACAAGCCCTGCGTTATCATACCCAATCTCGTAACTATGGCAACAAAGTTTTATATATTAATTCTGTTTGTTTGTGTACGTTGTGTATTCTAACGGCCTCCGAGACTCCCACAGGTGAAAGGGGCCCATGAAGGCAGCCACCCCGCAGCCTCCATGCTAACCTTGTCCGTTGTCTTTACCCCCGCTCTCACTAACACTTGTCTCTAGTTACCTGAACGATCTGGAGCGGGTGACTGCTCCAGGTTACGTCCCCACGCAGCAGGACGTGCTGAGGGTGCGCGTGCCCACCACGGGGATCATAGAGTACCCTTTTGACCTGGAGAACGTCATCTTCAGGTACAGCACAGGCACGGCCCAAAGCGGGGCACAGACCACGGCTCGGGCAGGGGCGGCAGGCTGAGGCGTCTGATGGATGTATTCCATGTTCTTATCTCAGTGGCAGCTTTGGCTATTCAACCTAATGTAATATTCTGGAAGGAAATTGTCTCCGGGCAGATAATTGTGCATGGCAAGTCCACTTTTTAGGGCTGTAATCAACCAAAGACACAACCAGTCGACTAAAAATGCAGGGAAATTCAAGGCAAAAGCATTATTTTAACATTTATTTCAATAAAAGCCTTTCCTCTTTATATTTCTTACGCTAAAACGGGTTGTGGCAAAATTATGCATCTTGATATAAACTGCCTGGGTTTGGACTGGACCAGAAACGAATACATTTGGCTAATCTTGAATGAAAGTATGATCAAGCTCTATCTTTCGTATTGCAATTTCTAACAACAATGTTGAAGTTCTCAATACGGTATGTGCATTGTTCAGTAGTCTAAAGAAAATAGCTGGAACATTAATCTTTGTGCTAAATCTTTATTGTATATTAGTAATTATAGTACAATGGATGTAAGTGAATACTTATTGGTTCTGGGCTTTTAATGATTCAAGACTTTTCCCTAATTTCCTTCTTTTAGTAGTTACAATATTCTATATTTGTTTTACCCGGACAGAACTACCTTAAGTAAACATAGAATTCTGAGTCTCATTTGTTCAAAAAAAGCTCTATAAATGGACTTCTATGTCACAAGAAAATAAAAATTCACTCTTAAATTTCTGCAAACAAGTGATTTGCATTTGCAGCTAAATCCACCTGAAGGAGCCACTGTAGAAGACCAATCCATTGGCTGGGTTCTCCTGCCGTCTGTGGTTTCCCCCGCTGCATTGAATGATGGGTCGGATTCCTCCATGACAACAATATAATATGCCTTAACTTTAACCACAAACTCACTGCCCTCCTTCATAAATGTCAACTTTAGAGACATTTGAGAGCTACAACATCACTGGAACACATCCCTTATCCTCAGTCTCGCCCTGACGGAACTGTGGTTTGGGTCTGGCTCAGCAAAACGCGCCTTGCTCCAGGACGACAAAACGGTCCTGCTCTAAAGTGTGGAAGCGTTCACATTCTAGATCAAAAAGGAGCCAGTAGGATGTCAAAGATTCCAACACCATTCAAACTCATAGTACAGCAGCAAAATTGAATGTTCTGCTGTTTGTGTGTGGAACTTTGACATCACGCACTGGGCCTTTTTTATCAGCTGCTGCCTCCTGTTTCCACTCTTTGCATATTTTTGAGTGTGTTTGCCTGTTAGGTTGTAGGACCTCTATGCTGTTTGATACTGACTAACGGCCTTTGTCTCTGGAAGTGGCCTTTTCTGTGAAGCCTTTCCCGCAGCTCTCATCTCCTTTTCCTGGAATCGTGGAAGGCCTTGTGGTAATTTGCCTGTCACGCTTTATATAACTGTTTTCTTGTCTTTCTTGTATCTCTCTCCCTCTCTCTTTGACTGCTCTGTCTGTAGTTATCTTTCGGATCTGGAGCGAATTTCAGATCCCAACTATCTTCCTACGCAACAGGATGTGCTAAGAGTGCGCATCCCGACCACAGGAATCATAGAGTACCCCTTCGACTTGCAAAGCATCATTTTCAGGTAGAACAACTTGCATCAGTGTATCCCCTTTGAACATGTCGATCCTGCCCCTAACTTGATGAGTCCCTCCTGATTGACACTAACCCCTGTGATGTGGACGTGTAGATTGTGTAGATTGTGTATGTCGGTGTGAAGCCTACATTCTCCTGCTGTCTGTAAATGGGTCGCCTCCTCCTTCTCTGCTCTATCTGCCAGAGAAACCAGGTCGTCAGTTCTGTGTGGAGCCATGTTATTTTGGGCAGCAGGTCCTGCAGGGCCTATATTGGCCCCAGGTCTCTGTGGACCCCAGTGGACTGGGCCACCACTAGGGGGCAGGATTTCACTTCCTTAAATTTGGTCAGTTTTGTTAATTTGTCAACTGCACCTGGACATGAGAATGTTTGAGAGTTGGAGGTTGAATGGTGCTATTTTTAAACGGTGCATTGATCGCCCTGGGGAGTGTTTTGCCTTTATGTTAATGACGCTCGGCTGTAATGAGTTTGACCGTGTCAAAGAGCGGCTCAGGATCCTGCGGGACTCATGTTGTCTGTCGGTGATGTGGTTCTGGATGAGCTTATAGATTATATACTCTACATGCAGAGTGGTCAGCGGCTGGCGCCTGTAGCCTTGGACTCACTCATCTATATTTCTGTATCTAGGATGTGTGTGGCCCCCCGAGACCCCCACCTCCTCCTGTCCCTTATTTTGTCCTTGTTCTCCTTTCACTATTGTCGCTTCAACATGTTCAGATTCATTATCTGCTCCCTTCAGGAAGCTCAGTCTAGGTCTAATAATACAAGCCTCGGGCGTCTGACTGATCTAGATGTTTTGATGCTTTAATTGACAACTCATCACCTTTTGTTTTGTTTTTTTACAACATGAAATTTCAGATACGTTGCATCATCAGAGGGTAACAGATGGCAAATATACAGTAAAATAAGGATTTGTGTGAAACACTGACCACATTCTAGAACCACCTTAAGAACATTGAATAAACTGCATGCTGCTTCTTTTCCCGTGCATGGACACAGCTTTCACTTTTAGCTTGCAACGCGTTAGAACACTGCTGTACTCTTTGAATCCATCCAGTCTGACTTCTCTGTGAACAATCTGAACAGCATTATGTCAAAACTGGTTCTAGACATTCACACTGGGTGGACTCAACACCTCTAAGGCTAGCCATGGTCCAGGACATGTCTGCGTGCAGGGTGTGACTGTGTGTGTTTGACGTGCAGGATGGTGGATGTGGGGGGTCAGCGGTCCGAGAGGAGGAAGTGGATCCACTGCTTTGAGAATGTGACGTCCATCATGTTCCTGGTGGCTCTGAGCGAGTACGACCAGGTCCTGGTGGAGTCCGACAACGAGGTGGGATCAGTGAAGCTCTGTTCTGTGAATGTCATCCATGTAAGAGTGTTGCTAAGTGTTTGTGTGGGCCGCAGAACCGCATGGAGGAAAGCAAAGCGCTGTTTCGGACCATCATCACCTACCCCTGGTTCCAGAACTCCTCCGTCATCCTCTTCCTCAACAAGAAGGACCTGCTCGAGGAGAAGATCTCTTACTCTCATTTAGTGGACTACTTTCCCGAATTTGATGGTAATAATCTAAATATATACAGTATAGTATTCATATAAATCTTACTTTACAAACTAAACCTTACACTATACAATCATCTACAACTGTTTGCTAATCGATTAATCAATAATTTCTATAGGCTTCAACAAATGCAGGTGAATTTTTTTCTTTATTCAACTTTAAATGGGACAATTATATATGATTTGGACTCATTACACACAAAGTGACTTATGCCAAGGCTGAATGATGGTCTTAATTTTATGATTTTCACTCGTATGAGAATTGTGACTCTAAAACTCAAAGCTACACAATCATTAACTTAGCAAATGTATAAATGCCTTTTTTATTGATAAAACAGTCAAATGTCCTCTTGCAGCTTTGCTTCAGCTTGTTCTGGGTCAATTAGACATGATAGTGCATTAGCGTTCTAAATAGCAAATCAATTAATTAGTAGAACACTTTAGTTTTGTAAATTGCTCTGTTTTGTTGGATGTCCGCCACAATGTAGATGTATTATTTAGTACAGACATCAACACAGGAAATGCTGCTCATAGGATTTCAGAGGCCGGGTACATTTATTGAAGCACATCCATCCTTTTTCATGTGTGTTTTCCAAAAATAAATCAAATTTGTCCAAAAAAGTTCAATAGGATAAAATGTAGTCTCTTCAAAAGCCCGGATCTCAGTCGTTTTGACAGGTGCTCCTCATGGTGCTCTTCATGGTTCTCGAGGGCATGTATTAGTGAAAACAAAGAAAATTTTATTAATGACATGAGCCAACGGGTTTCCACTACAAATTAGTTTCAATCAAAACATTTTGAAAAGAGGGAAGTGTGCTTATGAATACACACATACTTTTACTTCAGTTGAAATGTGTAGCGGGAACGACAATTAAATGATTTACTTAGAAGCGTGGCTAGCTAATGCCTGATGTGCACTGACAAAGTTTCGTGTAGACTGATCCAGGATTTGCCTCTAAACTTGGAGAGAGGACTTTTTTGACAGTTACCCTCAATAACTTCTACAAATGTAACAATGGGCTCATTGGAATGGTGTATGGTCACATGCATTATGCTATACCAATAATATGTCCTTGCCTACTGTATGCTTTACTTTGACCGACCACATCCCGTTTCCTCTTCCCTCAGGTCCCCAGAGAGACCCGCAGGCCGCCCGGGAGTTCATCCTCAAAATGTTTGTGGACTTAAACCCCGACAGTGACAAGATAATCTACTCCCACTTCACATGTGCCACGGACACTGAGAACATCCGCTTTGTGTTTGCTGCGGTCAAAGACACCATCCTACAGCTAAACCTCAAGGAGTACAACCTGGTGTAGGAGGCGCGCGCCCGACCACACTGCACAACGCTCCTGTCCGCGGCATTCCACCCCGATCACTCCACCCTCCGCACCGCAGCCCCCGTCCGGTGTCCGGCAGCTCGTGTTGTGTCCATAGCCGCGCGCCAGTGTGCCTCAGTCAGTTCGTTTACATAGAGACTGAAAACATTCAGACCGCGGCAACTCCTTTGCATGAGCTTTTGTTGCTAATCACACGTTTGCGTAACATACAACAACAACCACAATTTGGGGCAAGAGTAGATGCAGTCATTTACGTGAAGTATTTGATTTTCCTTGAAACTGCAAATGATGAGTTCCCCCAGTGTAGTCATGACCTTCACATAAAGCTGCAGTACCTAACTTTGAAACCTGAGACATGGATCTATGTAATGAAATCCATGTTACTAGTTCCTCGCTCATTCTTAAGATAACGCCATTTGGTTCCATCTTTAATTCAGCTTATGCATAGAAAATCAGTAGTGACCTTCCCTCTGCCAATCAGCTCTCAGTGTGTGAAAGATTTAAAAAAATCTAATAAGATAAAGGCAGCAGAATGTGGTTTGATTTATTTACTTGTACAAAGTAAATGTATCTACGACACAAAAGTTAGGTACTCCAGCTTTAACGTAGTGGACCAAAACAATGAAACGCAATACGTCTGTTGTTGAAATGCCAACATTATCATTGCCGCTAATCTAAAAACGATTGTTTAGTATGTTTAGTAAATACATGTCCAATATTAGCTTGGCTGTTTCTCATCACTTAAACTTAAACGCTGAGTCGGCTCCAGTCTTAATTCGACTGTTGGTTACATGTAGCGGGCGTAGCACCACAAAGGTCCATACCGATTGTACTAAAATGGGAAGGTCACCTCAATCAACATTCCCTGGTTTACATAGATTTTGGATTGAAATGAGCCATTAGGCAATTTCCCCTGGTTTCAACGAGGTCCATGAGGACACTGACGTATGGCACACTGGCTCTCTGGCACACTGGCTCTCTGGCTCTCTGGCTCTCTGGCCTTAGGTGTGCCTGTGGTAGCACTCACTGTGAAACACGCTTTGGTGATTGAAGAATCCAGACCTGACTTCTGAGTGGAAGAGCGCTCCTGACCACAGCTAGAGGGCAGCACAACACCGCTCAGACACACTCCAGTTTGAAAAGACTGCTGTACAAACAAGGACCAGTGTCACCTCCGCAACTGGACTATGATTTTAATGTTTCCATTCTGAAGACGAATGAAGTGCTTCTTTACTCACACAAATCAAAATACACAACACAAGATTTTTAAACCATTTTAATAATGTATTTGTTGCTATGTATATTTAAAAAAGAAAAAGAAAAAAAACGCTAAATAGAATTATTTATAAACACAAAAAAGTTAGAGGCAAACCAGACTTGACTTAAGTCCATATTGTGAGTGTGCAGAGCTTTTCAGTGAGAACAATCACACGGTCTGGGTTTCTGTTTGTTGTAGGCCGCCGCCGCCGCCACTGTAGTGCACCTGTGTAGGAGCCACGCACTTTCACTGTCCCATCCACATTTATCGAAACGCATTCACCAGTGACGGACCATGAAGCATGTTCCGTGCTTTACGCGGTGGTCAGGTGCATGTCCATCTTCGTCCTCTCCAAACCCACTTTCCAACAAACTGGGTCAAGTTAATGTAAATAATAATAAATGAGAAGCCTGGTCCGAGAGTTGATTCCACACAGAAATGGCGAGCTCATTTATTAAAAACAAAACTGTCTTCGAATTAGTGTTGTCACGATACTAAAATTACAAACTCTATTCCGATGCTGAGAAATAGCCTCGATACTCAAATTCCAATTTTGATGCCTCAGTGGTAATCCGTCTTTTTTTGGATAATGAGCTGCAATTTTACCAGTAATTAACAATACAGCATTACAATTCTTTTTCATGGTACCACAGTATTCATTCAAAAACTGCTCATAGAATCTCCCATTTTGTGCCGTTTAAGTGATTTTTTTTCCTTTCTGAAATTTGATCCAATATCCTTTTTAGTATCAATATAATATCTGATTTTTGATATTTCTGACAATCCTACTTTGAATGCAGATTTGGTGAAAACATGCTTGTTTACTTCCAAAACTCTTAAACGTAAACGCGTGTATTCGTATATATTTTGTTCCAGAGAAAGTAAAGAGTGAATGACATATCTAGGTTCACCTTATAACACACTAAATCCCACTTGGAACGGCCCACTTCTGCAGCCTGCGACGGAAGCATCCACACTGTTGGCTCGTCGCTTATGGTTCATTTCCATTGGTTTTTGATGCTGTCATGTTGGTATCACTCGGGCCACAGCTGAAGAGGCGGGCTGCCTGGGTCTGCGTGGCATAACCTTTATTTATCTTTAACTTATTTATGGACCACACGTCGGACTACTTTGTGTCGCGGAAGAACTCCCCATGTGGCAGAGCGTACTTGAGTCTCTGAACTGCTGTATAAATGAATGTGCTTGATAGTAACGGACATATCTTGGCTTTTTTATGTTCGACACCTTTTGCCACTATTCCACGGATAAGAAGACACTTTTGGTTTTTGTAGTTCACGTTTGTGTGGACACTATTTTTACTGGGTTTAGAGACGTTTCGCGTATTATAATTGAGTATTACACGGATTTGTTTTTATTCTGGCCACACTTGATTATGGAATATAACTGTAATGACTTTTGTGTTAAGATTTTTGATGGTTAGGAAAGTGCCAGATAATGGCGGTTATATTCTAGGAGCTGAAATTCCCATTAAGGGCTATGATACAGTAGAGCAGACAGTTTTACACGCACAGCCCTCCCCATTACTTTCTTAGACTGAAAAATGGCCTTTCACAAAATCACTGTTTCTATCGGTAGACGTTACACTATGCTGCTTTGGCCCTAGTATAATATTAGTGGTGCATGGCATAGGAATGTAACGAAAAGTCCCAAACATTGAAGTAAATTCACTAACAAGCTCACCAAAACACTGCCTCAAAAATGTGCAATGATGATATAGTTTTATATGAAATGCCCTTTGGTTCCATCCATGTTTCAGAATGATAATTAATGAGGTTTGTTGTCATAGTGATTACCAATTCTGAAGAAAATATATTGTTTGGCTGTGGGAATAGGGGCTTCTTGGATTAAGGTGGGGGTAGAGCTGTTAAAAATTAAGTTTATGCTTTTGCAAATCTGAATTTTCATGTTCCATGGCTCTTAATGATCATAAGGTGTTTTCTTCCTCGTATGGGAGGTTGAAGGGTTCCTGCTTATGTTGCCATGCACCAGGGCAAGTTGAAAGTCTTGTTGCCAGTATTCCGAGAGAGAAGAGTTGTTCGATTAGTATATTAACAATAATGGACACTAACCTTAGGGCAACGCCAAGTCAGTTTTGGTATGAATCATTGTGTATACAGTTGAAGTAGAATTGAACGTCCTTGGAACACAGATTAAAAGTATTGGTTTCTAAGTATTGCCTTGAAGAATGAAGGATTGCGGAGCAGGTTTACTTGTGTATGAACTTGCCAATGGAGCAAAGTGCATCATTCAGTCCCCTCTCACATGACCAGAAACATTAGGACCATTTTGTTTATGTTGAGTTGTGTAATTTCTTTGTACAAAGCAATGTAAAATATGTATTATACTGAGTGTGCCAACCCCACTCTATATAGAGCCAGGCTCACTGTAAGTGCCAACGCTGTGGTCACCGTGGGACCACCCGACCGGTCCCCACTGAAGGAAAACACACTAGGCTAGAAGAGTTCCGAGACTTAACTATCTGTATTTAAGATTTCAAAAAATAATCTGTTTTTTAAGAGACTGTAATAATATTTGCATGTGCTGTTTTATTTTGTGTGGAAAGTGAGGGCTTGGTTTTTCAATGAAGCAGACCCTTTATAGAAGGGCTCATGCATTTGGTTTTGAATGATTTCCATGAATCTTGCCATATTTTTCAATCGTGTTTCTGTATTCGTTTGGACCACTGTTGCCTGATCCTCATTCAGACATGATTACGATTCATTGCCGCCTTTGAGAGATACATAATGACAAGCTATTTGTTTAAATTAAAATAAATTGTTCCTATACTTGCTTTGTGTGTTGAGTGAATTTCATACATTATCAAGATATAATTTGGGCTGCATGCTATGTTACTATGGATTTTTAAACTCATTAGTTCTGATATAAGTGGTTGGAAATTAAAGGGTCAAGAATGTATTTGATAAAAGAAATAAATGAAAATACAATTTAGGGTCTTGAAATTTAAAAATAAACTATCAATATTAGTTTGATAGGTCCTTGGGGCTATTCATAGTTTTGTAAAAAATTAGTTTGCCCTCAAAATCGCTACTAATTTAGTATAACAATCTGCACAAGTTGGTAAACTAGTCTATGATAAATAAAAACTCGCTGGTATCTGCTTTTGGTTGACTGTAGAATGAACAACTTTTGGGTATTAAATTCCTGTTTTCACTGCTGGAGCTAATAAAACAAGCTCCGGGAGGAACCCATATGAAATCACTGTTCACTTTTTAGCAACATTTTTGGACTATAATTTATTTGTGAATTTGGAATACAACCTGGTCTGATTTACCATTTAACATTTTTGATTTGACTGGAGTTTTGGTGGGCTGACGATGCAAAAATCTAAAAATGTCGAAGAAAATGTATAAGTCTACCATAGAATGCACTATTAGCTTATATCTAAAACATAATAGAAAATATAAAGAGTGTTTCTATCCGGTTTGACTTTAACTGCAAGTCTTGTCGTCCTGTCTCTCAAAAAGGCTTGCAGTTACACACAGTTGCCTGCAGGGGGCGCTGGTTATAAATGTAGTCTATGGCCAGTTTTCAGCATAAAAAGCCAAACAAGATTTAGATAATGATAATATCTGAAAAGCAAAACCAAACAAAACCAAAAGATATAAGTAAACTACGACAATCCTCAAATGAGTTTTTGACAAGAGACAAGTGCCGCAGGAAGTGTAATGTTAATCACGTAAGTACACTGTTACGCTATTAATTCCACCTGTTAAGGATATCTGTAATAAGGTGGTCAGAAAATATTATAACTAATTATTTTTGAAACAATAAATCTTTCCTTCAATGGTTGCTCAACAGAACCAAACCACGTCGAGTTTAGGTTTTCGAAATGGATATATGGAAAATGGGTAAAGGGTAAATGCACTTTGGTTGCTACTAGGGTTGCCAACTTGAGAACAAAAAAATAAGGGACACCATTTGGGTGGATCGGTTTGAGCACAGTAATCATGAATTTCATAATCAGTTTTTAGAATGTAATTTATTGACTACATATAAAAAAAAAACAACTCCTTAGTCAAAAATGAAATTGAATATTGAGTACTTAATGCATTCTTATTACTAATAAAGAATATAAAAAAGGCAAATGCTGTAACTTACATTACAGTAAAGACCATTTACTGTAAAAGCAAATAAAAAAAGAAAAACATATGTATTTATGAAAAAAACTCACAAATGTTGAAATCAAAGCCTGTAGCAGTTAGACATGGTCATTATGTATATTGCCTGAGAGTTTAGTACGTGTACATGGCTTCAGTAAAAGCTATTGTTCGTTTACAGCTGGTCTGTACATTTGTTGACGCTTCCTTAGTGCTTTTTTCGGCGCTTGGATTTCTCTGCATTAAAACAGCGCACTGGATTTGAAAAAAACAACGTAGAGATGATCATTTTAGCACAGTGACTTTTTTTTAACAAAGTAGCTTTTGTGAACTATTGACTGCGGAAGTCCGACTCTGGGAATATGACGCTACTTTACCAAACTTCTGCTGTGATGATGCTGCGGGAGCGGCCCACGCTGGCGATTGTCAACATTAAACCAATGTATGTGATCAAGTCTACGCCCCTTTGACACTGATTGGCCGAAAGGTAGACGCTTAAACTGTGATTACTTTGTGTGCGTGTGTCAAGCGTATACAGTCTATGGTCGCGCGTGTGACATGCAGTGAGTGATGCATTCAAGTTGGCTCTGAAAATACGGGACAAAAGCCGTCCCGTATCGATTCAATACGGGACGCACATAGTGTTTCTATAATACGGGACAATTCCGTATTTCAAGGGACGGTTGGCAACCCTAGTTGCTACTCTGCAAACATTGAATATCTGGTGTTATTGACTGACTGAAAATAATTCATTTTTTTGATATTTCTGACTAGTTGCATTCACTTTTAAGTGTAGACAATCACTAAGCCAATTGGCCTAAAGTTCTTGTTGAAATAAAACAAATATATATATATATATATATATATATATATATATATATATATATTTTGTGTTTAAATTTGTCCAGAAACGTCTGGATATGATTGTGAAAACGTGTAGGTTCATAAACTAGTCAAAACCACTGAAATTGGTTCACTTTAGTAAGATCCATACCTCCTCAAGTCAGGTATGGCTCAACAAGACTCCATTTGTGTTTGAGGGCATTTTTTTCCTGGTCTTTATGGTAAGTGTCAAAACCTCTAGTCTTAGTGTAAGTATAATTTAGCTTTAATTCCTGCGCCCATCCACATGAACATCATCTTTGTCAGCAGCAAAGACGGTGTAATTATTTGATCATTTAGGTGTCAAGAAATTGTGATAATATTTAAAACACATGCATCATGTTGGCCCGAAACATTCATGATCATTTGGATATTTCCTTTTTAAAAATGTCTTTCAACTTCTGTCTTCTTTCCCTTTAAGGTTATTTGTATTGGCACCTGCCCTCCAACTGCAATAGAATTGTACAACATAAACATAACCTATTTCTGAAATCAGGGACGTGCGGTGAGGTTTGTGATTGGGGAGGCACTGACTTTAAAAGTCAGATTTACAATCATTATTCAAATAAAATAGCATTTAATCACCAATGCAATGACATCCACAAACTTTATATACTGTAAAGATAAGAGAACCAGCTTCTTTTAATAATCTCACAACAAATCTAGCTGCTGACTCTGCTCCGCATCAAACAACATCTTTAAGAAGCGCAGGTGCGAGAGACGCGAGGAGAGAGAGACGCGAGGAGAGAGGAGCAGAGAGAGACAGAGAGGAGCAGAGAGACGGAGACGCGAGGAGCAGAGAGAGACGGAGACGCGAGGAGAGAGAGACGCGAGGAGAGAGGAGCAGAGAGAGACAGAGAGGAGCAGAGAGACGGAGACGCGAGGAGCAGAGAGAGACGCGAGGAGAGAGAGACGCGAGGAACATAAACAATAATTTAAACAAGTTGCAGAACTCTTGAGCAGTGTTTGAATCAGTGTTTTTCGGAAAAGCACTACTTTGCCGGTATCTGTCAATGTTCAACATAAAACACAGATTAACAAACTCCTCCCCCGCAGCCGGACTAACCTCGTAAGTCCAGTGGTGGTCTCCCAGTCTATATTAATTCTTTCTTTGTTTGAAAGTCCAATTGAGAAAAAAAATCTTCATTCAAATCATCCATTTTCCAGCAAAAGAAATAGCATTTTGGGCTGATTGTTTGTTAGCAACTCTGGTATGAACTTTATGCTCACTATCACCCCTAGCGGTGAGGCACAGATACCGCCTGCCTCACGCCAAGCTTTTTCCTTGTGTGTTCATCTACAATCAAAAGACTTAAACTAAAAATAAATTGTACACACATACGTGCAATACACTACTAAACACTAAGAGGAGTTTAAAAAATGTTTTTAAAGCAGGATATTTGAAACAAACAGTGATATATCAACTGCACGAGCTGAGTGCACTCAGACACACACACACACACTGTGAGGGAGCGGTCTGGGGTGAGGCACGCAGGAGCGCTGCCTCACCTCGTCTCTTTGAATAGGAATAACGGGATTTCGGCGATTTTGACTTCAGAAATGATCAAAACTGATGGGAACCGTGCCGAATATACATTAAAAGCATAGGACAGTGGATATAAATTATATATTTAAACTAAAATAATTATTAGTTTCCAATAATGGCAGGTGAGGCTCTGCCTCCCCTGCCTCCCCTGACTGCACGTCCCTGTCTGAAATCTACATTATAGTGGCGGCATCATGAGTCGTTTGTGATGTTGTGATTCTGACAGTTGAACACGTGGGATTAAGTGGTGCTACTCAGTGTAATCCCAGCTAATCTGGATTCAGTTTCACTCCACTCAGGTCGGCGCGTGCCTGGGGGGGACAGAAGCATGCTGATCCGCTGAACCATGGCTGTGTGGTGGGCCCTGCTCCTGCTGCTGTGGCCCTACCCCGCGATACAGCCCTGTCCCACCCTCTGCACCTGCACCTCTGCACAGGCCAAAGACGAGCCCAGGTAACACCCAGACTCCACGCATTCTGGCACCTGTTATTTTGACTGTAGATTGGAAAAACAGCCAGATTAATTGCAAATTGCATGGTTATAGCTAGCATATTGTCTAGTCTAGTCAAAGTCCTCAGCTGAAAACTTCACTAAACAGCAAATTTAAGATCTTATGGGTTTACTTTCAACTGATCATAATAATTATAATGCATTGGCTTTATATAGTACTTTCAAAGACTCTTTACAAATGAATGCTTGTAAACCAAAGTATAACTTCAATTTCAATACATGTCTATTAGTACAGTATTATATTTTATTTTAGTTTTCAATATTTTCAATATTTCAATATTTTAGTTTTCATTCCCCTGTTCTCTGCATTAAAAAAAACATATTTTTTTGGAGCATAACAAGAATCATCAAACACTGGGCCTCATTCACGAACGGTTCTTAGGAACAGATTTGTACGTAAATCCTACTTACGCGGTTTTCACGAAGAAAGTGGCATTCACGAATATTTCTCGTAACCAGAATTTCTCTTGGGCAAGTACAAATCCTACGAGTCCTCAGGAGCACTCGTACGCATTCAGTGCCGACATGTTCACACGCCGGGGTTGTCCTCTTTGGTGAAGTTGAATAAAAATACAACATTCCAGTGATATGTCCGTCATATCGATGTATGTATTTATTTATTTGTAGTAATCTTTATTAGTAATCTTTATTTATATACCGCCTTTTTCACTGCAGATCTGGCCTACTTTTTAATTCATTTTGAAATGAAATGTGCCAACGCTTTATCAAATACATTGGAAATCTTGCCGTGTATTAGTGACCCCTTCCTATTTATAGGGGGCATTTCTTTATCCACGGGCCACAGAACAACGGCATATATACTGCTGCTGCAGGAGGTTACTGGGTCCGTGCTGAGTCTCTGCGCTGGTCTCTCCTATGGATCTATACGGGTCTGCACTGGTCTCTCCCATGGATCTATACTGGTCTGCACTGGTCTCTCCCATGGATCTAGACGGGTCTGCACTGGTCTCTCCCATATACGGGTCTGCACTGGTCTCTCTCCATACGGGTCCGTGCTGCATGCTCCTGGATCCATACGGGTCCGCGCTGGTCTCTCAAGTCTGGTCTATGCGGTCTCTCTTCGGTCCGCGCTGGTCTCTGAACGCGCTGAATCTCAAAACATTTTGAGATTCATCTTTAAAATAATACATAATATATTTTTAAATTAAGCTCATAACATTTTGAGATTAATCTCATCATATTCTTAGATTAATCTAGTTCGAAGCTAGTTCGACTTTATTATCATAATATTTCGACTTTTAAGTCAACATTTTATAACTTTATTCTCAGTCTGGTAAAAGAAGAAAAAAGGGTGACTCTTTTGCTCCGTGTAACTCTTTGCTTTAGGCCTGTTGCTGTTTCCTCTGCCGTCTGCACACGGCCCTGCAGTCCCTTATATGGGCATTAGTGGGCGGTTACTTATGCTAAGTACCTATGCTAATGAAGCACCTGGCACGCGCGCTGTACTTACGAGGAAATGGGATTCATCAATCTGAGAGAACAGCTGCGAACAATTCAGCGGCTTACGAGTGCGTTGATGAATCCCACGTGGGGACTTCTTAGAAATCTACTTAAGGACAACTTGAGAAGAAAGTTGAGTAGTTTCTTACGAAGTTATTCGTGAATGAGGCCCACTGTTCTTATATGAAGATGAATCTCATCACTTTGAGCTGTAGTTGAACTGAATTTTTACTTTGTTACTTTTATGATTATAGATGGTTTTCCACCACATGCTTATTACCCATGATGCTTTGCGCGAACGCCATGTTGTGCGTCGAGCTTATATTGCACGGATCATTTGTCAGGGATCAATGGGCCTCATTCACGAATAACTTCGTAAGAAACTACTCAACTTTCTTCTCAAGTTGTCCTTAAGTAGATTTCTAAGAAGTCCCCACGTGGGATTCATCAACGCACTCGTAAGCCGCTGAATTGTTCGCAGCTGTTCTCTCAGATTGATGAATCCCATTTCCTCGTAAGTACAGCGCGCGTGCCAGGTGCTTCATTAGCATAGGTACTTAGCATAAGTAACCGCCCACTAATGCCCATATAAGGAAATATTATGATAATAAAGTCGAACTAGCAAAATTATGAGATTAATCTAAGAATATGATGAGATTAATCTCAAAATGTTATGAGCTTAATTTAAAAATATATTATGTATTATTTTAAAGATGAATCTCAAAATGTTTTGAGATTAATCTCAAAATATTTTGGACCCTGGGAGGAGATCCAGCGCGGACCAGCGCTGAGACCAATGCAGACCCGAGGAGAGACTGGAGTGACCAGCACACAGAAACCAGCGCGGACCTATAGGAGAGACCGCATAGACTGGAGTGACCTGACTGGAGAGACCAGTGCGCAGAGACCAGCGCGGACCGAAGATAGACCGCATAGACCAGACTTGAGAGACCAGCGCGGACCCGTATGTATCCAGGAGCATGCAGCACGGACCCGTATGGAGAGAGACCAGTGCAGACCCAGCGCGGACCCCGCAGCCTCCTGCAGCAGCAGTATATGTGCCGTTGTTCTGTGGCCCGTGGATAAAGAAATGCCCCCTATAAATAGGAAGGGGTCACTAATACACGGCAAGATTTCCAATGTATTTGATAAAGCGTTGGCACATTTCATTTCAAAATGAATTAAAAAGTAGGCCAGATCTGCAGTGAAAAAGGCGGTATATAAATAAAGATTACTAATAAAGATTACTACAAATAAATAAATACATACATCGATATGACGGACATATCACTGGAATGTTGTATTTTTATTAAACTTCACCAAAGAGGACAACCCCGGCGTGTGAACATGTCGGCACTGAATGCGTACGAGTGCTCCTGAGGACTCGTAGGATTTGTACTTGCCCAAGACAAATTCTGGTTACGAGAAATATTCGTGAATGCCACTTTCTTCGTAAAAACCGCGTAAGTAGGATTTACGTAGTTGTTGGAAGTAAGCATGGTGGGTGGGTTGAGGTAATCGGTTGGGGAAGTGTGGGGTGTGATCAGGAGTTTAGTTTTGGTCGGGGCATTGGAGAGGGTGTTGGGGCTAAATTAGGTTACAGGAGGCCTTATGATGGAGATGGGAATGTGATGGATATATTGATGGGCAGGTGGGGGGGTGGGTTGGGGTAGTGTGGAGTTTAAGCTATATTGGGTGTGGTGGGGGTTTTGCGTTGTGGTGGGGGTATATGGGTTAAAGGAGGTAAGTGGTAAGTGTTATGGGTTATTTGGTACTTTTTGTAATAGTAGGGGGTTGTGTATGTGAAGAGATCCAGTCTATACCGGGAGCTCGGGGGATTTTTTTTAAAGAATTGGTTGGATGTGGGGGGTTATATAGTTGTGGGTGGAGTGATAATTGTTATGTTGTATGTTTATGAAAAGGATTGTAGTATAGTGGGTAGGGTTGAACAGGGTGGGAGGTGAGAGAGGGTTTTAAGTTCTGTATTTTTAGGTTTTATATGACAACCGGGAGCTTTTTTGTACAAGACATTAACAATAATGAGTGTGGGTAGTGATGGGGGGGGGGAAAGGGGTGGATTTTATGTGGGTTTGGAGTGGAGGTGTTGTGTGGTGTTTTTTTGTTTTATGTGGTATACTTGTAGTGTTGGTAGTTATTTTCTATATGGAAGGAAATGGAGGGGGTAGTAGGTGTAGAAGATCGGATGTAGGGGGTGGTATGAGGAAAAAGGATGGGGTTGTAATGGAGAATTGGGGTATATTGAAATAGTTGGATATGGTGTGGGCTGGTCTGTCTGTGGATGTAGAAGTGGTAAAATTTTATTGTATCGACAAGCATATGTATAAATGATAATGAATTTTAGGGGTGGGGGGATGTACAAAAAATGAAGGGAGGTAGGTGGTGGGATGGGAGGAGAAAATAAAGGGGAGGGAGGTGGGGAAGGGGGGGAGTAAGGGTGAAAAGAATAGTATTTGTGGGACATATTTGGTAGGGCTTTCACACTCAGTCGGGAGTCCCGGCCAAGATATAATGCAGAGGGGGGGTGGGAGGTGATCTTGTGGAAATTTTTTGTTATAGGGGGTTTTCACGGAGGGGGGGAATTAGGGCGAGTAAGGTGATTGGAGGGATTATAATGATTGAGGTAGCTAGGTATGGGTTTGATGAGGTATGGGAGGGAAGGTATGTGATGATTATGGACTATTGTATTTGGTGGAAATTGTAGGGGGTGGAATGTGGGTAAAAGTGGTGGATGTGGGGGTTAGAGAGATAATTATTTGGTATATATATGGGTGGGGTGGGTAATATAGTGAATTGAGAGTGGGAGATAGGAATGGGGGCACGGGTGGATGGGTGTTGGGGTGTAGTTGGGGGATAAAGGGTGTTTGGGGAGGGGGATTTGGGAAGTAGGTGTAGGTGAATATTTTTGACATATATAAGGGTAATGTTGGGATATGGATGATGTTATTAGGTGTTTGGGAGTCGGGAATGGTAGGGATAACTATATGACATCGGAAGAGCTGAGTAGATATATAAATCTATGTATATTAGTATTGATTGATAAAAGGTATTGTAATAATGTGTGTATTATGGGGTGATGCACGAGGGAGTATAAAGGATGATGTTGTGGGGGGTGGGGGGGGGTGGGGGGTGTGGGTTATATTGGGGAGGTATTTAGAGAGATGTTGATGGAGGTGGGTGGGGGGGGGTTTGACATGATGGATAAAGATTAGGGTGACTATTGGATTTGGTGAGGCTATGTATGTATATAAGTGTGAATGGGGATTGATAGTGTTGGAGGGAGCGTGGTGGGGTTAAGGGGGAATTAGGGTTAACAGGGGTTGTGATAAATAAGGTATAAGATTTAGAGGTGCACTTAATGGGGAATTTGAATGGTCTTAGGGGGGGTAATGGAGGCCTAGGAGTGACATGGAAGGACTATAAGGTACTTTTTGTTAAGCTATGTGGTGAATAAAAAGAAGAGCCTGAGGGGGTGGTTGATTGAGGAGAAAGGGTGCTGTGTGGAAGGAGATTGGTTGACGGGGGTGATTAGGTATTGGTAACTGGGGGCGTGGCGGGCAGGGTCAGAGGGGCACTGGGCTTATATTATGGGGCTGGATGTTTGTTTAGCATACATGGGTATATGGTTGGGGGGAGGTAGATACTATGATCATGTCACTACTCGACGTATGTTGAGTAGGACAAGATGATTTGTTGGTTGTGTGCTGATTAACGGTAAATGCACCGGAGAATGAGTGTCCATGGCAAGACGATAGGTGAGGGGGGTGAGATTGTAAGATATGGGGGGGGGCTGGGGGTACCTTGGGGGTCGAATGGGGTGGCTGGGTAATATGGAATATTGAAGAAATTTTGAATCGGGTTATTTGGAAAAAATAGGATAATCGGTTGTGGGTGTAAGTGTGGTGTCATTTATAGCAGAGTGTTTTGGTGCTAATTGGTGGCTGGGAGCGGGGGGACCTTCTTGTAGGTAGGAAGGAGTCGGGCTTGAGTTGGATCCGGGTTTGTGGGATGGGTGTCTGAGGGCTGGCAGCGTGAGAACGAAGATCTAGAAGGGGGTCAATAAGAGCCAAGTAGTTGTGGGGGGGATTATCTGTAATGCTCTTCCCGAGGGTATCAATCACATTGGGTGGGGAGCTCTCTGGAAGTCTGCTGCGAGGAGTGAAGGGGAGCAAGCATGATTATGCTGAGGGAAAGGGTATTAATAGACACGGGGTCTAAGTTCCAGGGTGTTATTACTGTGTGTCCGTTTATTAATCATCAAATCAAGATAGTTTTAGTTTGTCGATTTCGAGCCATGTTGGGGTGAGTCTGCTCGCTAGTACTAATTCATCTAGCCCAGATTAGTTGTCCCTCAGAAAACGATCATGGCATGCCATGTTAAAGTTATTGGTGCCCCTGGCTGCCCTGAGCTACCAGTAGAATGGTAATTCTACCACAGGTAAGTAAGTTATTAATGTCGCTAAGGCCAGAAATGCCCTAGTTCATAAACCATGCGTTGAGATGTTGTATTGAGTAAATAAGTCTAAATATGAATCTGCAAATTTACATAGATTAAAACATGTGATATGGGACTCATGTATATATGGCCGTAAACATTTAAGTAAATGTAATGAAATGTTCATGAGCGCTGTGTTCTGAAATAAATTAGAAAAGAATATAGTTTAAATTTGAAAAAACTACAACTAAACAAAAAAAACACTATTTTTCAGCACAAGAAGTCACGTCATCATACCTGCATCATGGCTTTACTCTGTTGATGGGTTTTTTGGGTGGGACTGTGAGTGGTTAATAAACTCACACACACTCATGCACCCTGATCATGTTGTTAGCACCCTGACCCGGAGCACCTGAGGAGTATCGAGTAATAGAAAATGATCATTTATCAAACAATCATGTCCTGAACCGATATGCTGGATAAACGGATATGGTGACAGGCCGACTCACTCTCACTCACCGACCATTCAAATGATCCGTAACAGATCGACTTCCAAGAGCCTGTAAGCGCTCCATCAATCCTCCCTAAACATTGGAACCACCCCCAATACCCCACATCCCACCCGCCCACTAGCCCCCTGACAATCTGGCTCACCCTCAGGCTGCATAAAGGCCTCTCTCTCCCTCATTGCTCCCAGTCAAAGAGTTGGGGATTTTCATACGCTTCAGTCCATCCAGTCTTTTTGGTATTGAAGAAAAAGGAGGCAACCTGTTTAATAGCACGCACACTACTTGGTTTGATAAGGTGTTGTGCCGTGTGGGTGAGGAGACAAGAGAGGAGAAGGGGAGCTTATTTCAGATCAAGTGCACTACAGGAGCGGAGGGCCATATCTGGAATAACGGCTGCATGGAATGACAATTTAAAAATGGGATAAACAGTGAATAGTTACATCACTGGAATTATAAAACCATTCCCAAGTTTTAAAAAGGGGCAACGTTAAGAAGAGCTATATTTGGAAGCTTCTGATCGAGTTCTAACGTTTAGCTTATGTTTGTGTAAAGCGGTATCCATGCACCTTTGGAAATCTTTATTCTTCTGCATTCTTGCGCTCGCACAAAATTCTTGGGGCAAAGATCAATCAACTAAAAGGGCTGTGTCAAAAGCATGTCTTTGATCCTAACCATTTCTATATGACTGCTATCAGCGGATTGTGAGGAGGAAAGGCTAAAGGAAGCCACATGAATCCGGTATAATCCCAATAGATAATTAGTCTAGGGATGTTACCTTAATTTGAGTACTTGCTGATACCAAATACCGATACGAGTACTGCACTGTGTTATCCCTGGGAATTCATACAATTCACTGAAATTTAAAATGTTTTATTTCTCATTTATACAATAAGTAAAATGCTTTAACTAATAAACCTTTAGCAATTGTTTTTTACAGGCAATCCATAAGATTCAAGGTCATATTCCACTCATGACAAATGGTACAAAGATAGCTCCGGTGCTAGCAAAGGTTCACTCTGGTGGAGGTGAGTGTTTCAGGTGTTTGATCAATTTGCTGGTGTTACACGTGTTTGTTTTGGGACCTCGTGACAGTTTTGCCTTAAACAACTACAAGCCTTTACTCTGTTTACTTAAAAAAAAAACTGCAGAACAGCTGTCTGCTGTCATGACGCTAATGTAAATTAAAAATGTAGGTATCGCTTCTGGCATCGAGTCCTGTGGCATGAGTATGATTACAAGCCTATGGGTATTGACCCGATACCAGTGCATCTTACAAACTATGACCCACTGCCTACTAGCGAACTGAGAGCTTGGTATAACTGGTCTGAGAATCATTCATTAGAAAGCATTGTGGAGGCGTCTCAACCCTGAAAACATGTTGATGAACTATAAGGTTTTGGATACAAGAGCAGAGGAAGACAGCGCAGACTTTTGGGCTCATGTGCTGAGATGCCAGAGGTCTGGTCTTTACGCACGCGCCGCATCCGTGGGAGCGCCCCCACATCACGCTCCGCTCCTGTCCAAAGCCTCTGTCTATCCTTAGGCTGCATGAGAGTGCCATTTATTCACGCTGTTGGATTAGAAATACAGCGCTAAGCTTTAGAACAGCAAGCAAACCAGTCAAATCTGCGATTAATAATGAAGGACTCAAGGACCACACTCACTCAACCAATCACTCCCAGCTGCAAGTTTACAATCCTCTACTGTTGCATAGAAGGACAAAAATACTTATAATAAAAGTATGGAAAGAAAAAAGATGCTCGCCATGACAAACATGATGCTCACAAAGAACAACATTTCCCACCATTCTCCATCTGTGCTTCTCCAGTATGAGATTTTCTGAAGCAGAAAATGTAGCTAATCTTTTAGCAACTGCGGCTGCGATGTGTGGTGGTACGAGCTTCACACAAAAACAAAACCAAGAACACAAGGAGGCATTTTCCCATTTGTGATCGGAAGGTTTTTAAATACATAACAATATAGACCTAAAACCACGCCATCTTTATTTGATTAAGAAGCAAGTATTATTTATTCTGTTGCATAGTGTGAAGGCCCTGTGAGTCACTATTGGATGCTTGGCTCTTTCACGTTCCTGTTAGAAAAAGGTGACAGAGAGGATAGCACTCTCGCTTCTCAGCCAGAAGGTCCAGGGTTCGAATCCCGGTCGGAACAGGGACTTTCGGTGGAGTTTGCATGTTCTCACTGCGTCTGCGTATTTGCCTCCGGGTGCGTCCGTTTCCCCTACCACTAAAAACATGTACAATAAATCTGGCTATATCACTGAACCTTTTTACATAGCACATTTCTTTAGGATTTGAAAGTTAATGTGCCTCAGCTTAGTTTAACCACCTCATATGAATCAAAAGGGCGATTTCATTACTGCAACCCACCGACTTCAATCTATAGATACGCTTAATAAATAGCAGGAAAATCGTTTATTTTTTTCATTTCATGTGTACATTTTTGCAAATATACAAAATCTACTGTTTATATGTGACCATAATAATCAATGATGGCTAACAATAAGCGATTGCAGTTTTCCTATCTTACCTCTCCCGTGTCTGGAGACGAGGACATGGGGCAAATGCATGACAGGCGTTTGAGAACAGCCACATGACAGACGTGGGCTCAGTGGAACACATAGGGGAGTCTGGGTCATAGTGATGCAGAGCGCTGATTTTAAAAAAAGATGTCGTACTGTACAGCATTACTGTATACAGATGAAGATTTTGATACCACAGAAAACAGCAGGGTCTAGTCTTAAAAAGTAGTTCACTAATATCTCCAACATACCTATATTGTTGCAGTTTTAGCTCTCCTAGGCCACTCTACAAACACACGTGTCCACACAGAGTCCGGTTGGGATGTTTGTACGCCGTCCACACCCGAACCGTGCGGTTCTGTCTGTGTAGTTAAGTTGTGGTTTGTTGTCGGCATGGCAACGGCAGGGCCAGGACTAGTGGAATGTTTTATAGTACGGTGGCGCAGCGGTTAGAACGTCCTGGGTTGGATTCCACCTCCAGGCCTTTCTGTGTCGAGTTTGCATGTTGCTCTCCTGTGTCTGCGTAGGTTTCCTCCAAGCGCTCCGGTTTAACCACTAAATACATTTGACAATAGGGATGATGAATTGTAAGAGAGTAGTGAATGGACGGACTGCTTGCGTCGTCATCACACCGGGTGGTGGAGCCGTTAGGAAAATTACCAGTGCATCCAATAAGGGTAAAGGCAAACGGTGGATTGGGACCCTCGAGCCGGGGAAATGCTCTGTACAAAAGAAAAACAAAAGGACTTAGTTAATGATATCAGTAGTGTCATGACCAAGAATTAGACCTCTATTCAGTATAATGAACCTCGATTGAAGAATGTATATCCAGTCATTGCTAGTGGAATCTCCCCTGGTCGCCGTAATCGTCAGAACGGTATGGGAACTAGGCACATTAAGTTACATAAGAAGGTAGTTGGCTGTGAAGTTTTACTTGTGGGATCATCTTATAGTATTCTGTAGATTTAGAACACTTATAATCTCAAATGTGACAGAATCATGGGTCGAGGATAGTAAACACTGATGTCAGCCAACTTTGGTGTTTCTCCCATTGTGAGCTTAAATTCTTTTGATGATGCGTTCGGGGGCATGATGGCAATCATAGATTAAAGAATATGAATTAGCTTGAACTTTAAAGTATTAAGTTACAACATTTATTTTGTAACCATTAAGTTCACATAGGTATAATCGTAGGACCCTGAGATCAGAGCGATAAGAACCAATGAACGCTGCCACCTGGATTACAGACTCTTGATGTTTGTAAACTAACGCCCGGTTATACTGACGAACGCGGCGGCAGGCGGGTGTCCCAGGCGAGTTACAGAAACGACCTTCGGCTCCTAATAGGCAAATTGGTTCTGCTTGCGGGTGCACCATGAGGTGTGGACAATACGTATGAGCAGGTGTCTAGCGCCCGCCAGGAGGGGCATAGAAACTTTACAAGCACTCACGACTGACCCCCTGCCCCGTGCCCATCCCCCTCCCAGCAATTCTCTCGCAACTATCATCTACGGGAGGTGGAGTTAAATAGATTCTGGCTGTGGAGGGGGCGGGCACCGGGCGGGGGCTGGGATGGGGGGTTGGTTCTCTCCAAAGACTGTCCGGGCGAGTTACTTCTGCGGGTGCTACCCTGGATTATACGGATTAGTAGGGGCTGGTAAGCATGTTCGGCGGTATATGAGCCTGGAATCGTAGTGGCGCAGGCGGGGTATAATGTTTATTATGGCCGGTGGGTTATCGGCTGTGACAGGGGGGCTGGGGTTGGTGATGGGGGTGGTGAGTCGGCCGATGGGAGGTGGTGTAACGATTTCATTATTGGGGTATTTTATGGGGGGGGGATAGTTTAGTTTTGGTGGGTTGGAATGTGAGGGTTGAGTGGTTGATAGATGGTAAGGGGTTTATTATGATTTGTTGAGGGTGAGATTGTGGGTGTTTATTAGGGTGGTATATGGGGAGGTAGTATATAGGGTTGGTGGATTATGGTTGGGTTGTGTGAGTTTGTGTATGTGTTGTAGGGAATATTGTTTATAGGATATATTTAGTATGATGTTGGTTATGTTGTGATAGGCATTGAAGGAGGGTATAGATATAGGTATGGGTCCAAGGGATTGTATGGTCTGTTGAAATTGAGGGGGATGGTATGGTTGTTGAGTGATTGGGGGCGCTCTGGTATGGGTATAGGTTTAAGTTATGAGGGGTGGGAGGGGGGGTATGGGGGAAGGTACTAATGATGGGGCTGTATTAGCGGTCTTGTGGGGGGTAGTGGGTTGGGGCAGCAGAGACTATCACGGGGGGTGGTCTGTTGCTATGTAGGAAAGGACTAGATAGGATTTATGGCTGCCCTGTGGGTATGGTGGTAGTGGGTTTAAGTGCCGGGGGTGGGGTTTAATGTAGAATGGTAAATGTGTGAACATGCATTCGACGATATGGTATGGGAAGGGTGGGGGGTATCTTTCAAACATGTAGGGAGTTAAGGAGGGACGAATCAGTAGTGTATATGGCAAAGATGTACATGGCATTGTAGGGGCAATGGAAGTATTATTATCTCATCGTAAGAAAAAAAGTAAGAACAGCTAGTCGACCGGGGGTTGCGGCGACTAACATACAACGACACTGGGGGAATACGTGGGTGGTGTGGGCAGTGTGTAAGTTTTCGGAATCTAATGAGTGTTGAGTGTGGATGGGTATTAGGGTTATGAATGTACCGGCTGGGGGGGAAGGGGGGGGATCTATTCTGAAGGGGTATACAGGTAAGATGGTTTGTTCGTCTGCGGGTGGTAAATTTCACTGGGCGAGAGCATGCTAAGGTCCATGTAGCACACAGGGGGGACACCACTTGCCTAGAGGCCACGGGGCGGGTGTCCGCTAGTAACGGGATGGATGGGCAACTGGACCCTCACGGTAGCCAATCTCGGTCGTGGGGAAGTGTAGGATTTTCGGGGCATGCGCGGATTGTGGTGAGCCATATGATTTTTATGGTCAGCATTTATACATAAGTGTTGTATTGTTGACTTATTATGGGGGGTGTATATGTTAGGGGTTTTATATTATATGTGGCAGGTTGCTGGATGATAGCAGTGTGTTGAAGGCGGGGTGCTGGTGGGTAGCGAACGGTGTTGAGGATTTAGGGGGGGTGATACTTAGATGAGCAATTTATCTTTCAATTGCATGTATGATAGGCGAGTTTGAAGGTTCTTTTGAATTAGCCAGATTTATTGTACATGTGGGTTTGGTGGGGTTTCCGAGCTCCCAGGTATACATACGCAGAACCAGTGTTATCAGTCAAACTCCCTCGCATAAAGTCACTGTTCCGTCGGATACGTACCCTGACCTTCCTGGCGGAGAAGCGAGAGTGCTTTCCTCGCGGCACCGGGTTCGTACAGTAATGGAAAGATATACATAAGATTCCAAGTGTGACTCACAGGCTCTGTCTACGTGCTAAAGAATATTTAATACTTGCTTCTTTATCTAAAGAAAATGGGCGGTTTGGTTGGCTTTTTGGGGTTGTTTGATGGTGGGTTTAGGCCGGTGAAAAAATTGGGTATGCCTCCGTTGTGGGGTGTTAGTGGGGTGTGGGGGGGGGGGGGCATGCCTCGGTTCTCCCACTCTCGCAGCCCAGTGGGACGTTGTTGTAGCGTTTGGGGGGTAATTGAGAGGACATAATAGATGTCTGTAGGTAATGCTCTGTGTGAATGGTGGGAAATGAGTGGTGACGTGGGGGATATTCTTGGTGGGCATGGGGCAACTAGCGGGGGGATGGTGACTGACGTGAAGTTTATAGTATTGTGGGGGGTCACGGCTAAGTATCTGGTAGGGAGGGGTAAAAGGGCTGCGGGTCGGGGTGGTGGGTGAGGGTGGGGTAAATCGGTAGATCAGTATGTAGCGCTAAGTTTCTGGGGGGCGGGGTTCGAATGATGAATCGCTTATTTTCTAATCAACTGGAGTGAGAGAGGTCTCGACATGCTGGCCGTGGGGATTATACAATGCGGGTCCTGAGAGGAGCGGGATGGGGGGGCGCGCCTCGTCGAGCGGCGGGAGGGGACGTTAAGGTAATGTACGCGGATGATCAGCACTTGAGCCAAAAGTCCTGCGCTGTCTTTAATCTGCTCTTTATCCAAAACCGATAGTTCATAACAGTTTTCAGGGTTTGAGAATGCATATCAATGATTTCTAATGATATGATTCTAAGTCCTTAGTACATCGTCGAGGGGTGCGAGGTACAGTGGGGGGCCTATGTTGGGTTGAATGGGCTCTGGTTTCGTGCTGCTCGACATAGGGCTGGAATCAGCGCATGCAATCTGATTCGTTGCCAAACGAGACAGACTTTGTTGATAGGGTACTGGACTCATGATCAGGCTGACCAAGCGGTTCCTGCAGTTTTTTGTGGTGATGGAATCAATAGGTAAGCCTTGGGACGGGTATAGGCAAAAATCATGTGCACGTGGCCAAAACAAACTCGTGTAACACTCATCTTCTTGGGGTACAACAACTAACTCCGCACCGCCATCACAGAGTGACCTTTGCTAGCTCCGTAGCTATTCTGTGACATTTTGATGTAGAATAGGGACAGTGAATCTGTTGGGGGCCTGGTAAAATTACTATGGCCGTAATGGGGGAGTTGGATTGGCATTTTACTTAGGGGTAATTGAGATATTAAACATTTATATGGCATTGTAAGGGAGTTGAATCCCAGGTAGTAAACTCATGTCTGTCGGCGTATCGTAGGGGGGGGATCTGCTAGTACTCTAATTAAGGTACATCCTAGTTTATTTATCTTTTGGGATTATACAGGATTCTGGGTGGATTCATTTGCTTTCCTCCTCACAATCCGCTGATAGCCAGTCATATCTAATCTGTAGGATCAAAGACATGCTTTTTAACATCCCCTTTTAGTTGATTGATTCTTTGCACCAAGTTTTGTGTTGTGAGCGGCAAAGAAATGCAGAAGATTTAAGAGTGCCAAAGGTGCATGGATTACCGCTTTACACATATCATAAAGCTATAACGTTTAGAACGCGATCAGAAGCTTACCAAGTAGCTCTTCTTAACGTGGTGCCCCTGTGTAAAAACTTGGGGACATGTGTTTTAGAATTCCAGTGAGGAGTAACGATGGCACGGCGTGATCCCCATTGGTAAATTTGCAGTCCAGGCATGCCGTTGTTCCAGTATATGGCCAGCTCGCTCCCGGTAGTGCACTGGTATCTGAAAATAAGCGCCCTCCCGGCCCTCTGCATGTCTCCTCACTCCACAAGCAACAAACATGATCTAACCAAGTAGTGTGCGTGCGATTAAATGTGCCCTCCTGGTCTTCATGACCAAAAAGACGGATGGGACTGTAGCCGTATGATAAATCCCCCAATTCTTTGACTGGGAGCAATGAGAGAAGGAGAGCCGTTATGCAGCCTGAGGGTGAGCAGAGGGGCAGGGGCTTGTGGGCGGTGGTTGTGGGTATTGGGGGGGGTTCCAATGGTTTAGGGAGATGATTGCGATGAGCGCTTATAAGGCGCTTTGGAAGTCAAGATCTGTTACGGTTCAATTTGGAATGGTCGGGAGTGAGAGGGAGTCGGCCTGGGCACTATAGCCCGTGTGAGCCGGATATCGGTTGATGGAAATGATTGTGTGATAATATGAGCATTTTTTATATTACTCGATTACCTCCCAGGTGCTGCCGGTTCAGGGTGCTAAAAACCTGAGTTCAAAGGTGGATTGATGTGGTGTGAGGTTCATTAACTCTCACAGGCCCCAACCTATTCAACCTTCAACAGAGTATAGCCACTGATGCAGGTATGATTGGACGTTGTGCTGAAAAGATATGTTTTTTTTTGTTTAGTTGTAGTTTTTTCAAAAGTTAAACATATTGTCTTTCTATTTTGTTAAGAACACAGCCGCTTTGAACAGTTCCAGTAATGGTACTTAAAGGTTGTACCGGGCATATGTGACTAGGAGTCCCTTATGCAATGTTGTTTATGCTAGGGTATTTGTGGCAGAGTCATAGAGTAGCAATTAGTTACTCAATAAAATTATATAATGCTTTGGTTATTGTATAGGCTTTTTCTTCAGAATGGCGAATTGCATTCACTTTTGGACACGTGTGGTGATAAATTACTACTGTGAGCCAGGGCTGCCCGGGGGGCATCACGATAAATATATACATGACATGCTTTGATCGTTTTTAGGAGGTTATATTAATGCTGGCTTATGAATTATGTAATTGCACGAGCAGAAATCTCCCAAATTGGGCAATCAATATCAGAATAAAAACTAAAATAGTGAGTTGGGGTTGTTTTTTCAGACAACCGGTTTAGATCGGTTTTTATTTGTCGTGTCCTTTTTGAAAAAAAAAACCAAGCCCTTGTCTCAGCATGCAGAATCATCTGAGCTCTGAAATACGAGCTGCTGAACTAATGGGAAGTCACACACTTCCTGGACGGTGGTAACTAGGGTTGCAGCTTTTCTGTACAAAATAGGACGGATATACGTTTGTAACCGTCTGAATCTGCGGAGCTGCAAGAGGTACAATCTATTCCAGTCTCAGATGAGCATGTCGCGAAGATGAGTCTTGGTGGAAAACAATGAGATAACTGAGGCATAATGTAAACAAATATATAGATTTTGGATATAAGAGCACTCCGTATTTTCCTATTGTATTTTCATGTAGGATATGTGGTATTGCTTTGGTTCTTTGGGTATACCCTGCGCTATCCCTGTGTGCTATCCCTTGGGTCAAAATGACCCCTCAATGTTAAAAATACCCTATATTAGAGTCTGAATGGGTCTTAATGATCCAGGGCGGTCAAGTTATTTGTATTCATCAAATGTTAATCGGGAATTGCTTGTTAGTCGAGTGTGGAATGGGTGCCGGGTGCTCACTCGAAATTTCGAGCCTTTTTATCGTCTCATTGACCCGTAGGTAGGTCTCCCTGGTCCAGTCAGCAGCACAGCATGTGGTCAGTATTTAGTAACCGTTTCATTCTGAAGGTATCCTCTTCGCCAGATAGAGCAAACTCCTACTCTGGGACGTTCGGTGAGCATAATCTGACGTAAATTGCGTGTGATCGGTCTGGCATAGAACGAGGGCTGCACATTGAAACACATTCGGGTTATTGCAGGCCAAAGGGTATGGATCAGACTTTGCTGACATTGGGATCAATTCTCTGTGTAACTTACGGACCTTGTCAATACTCCAAGCAGCACTAGATCCAGTTCGCTGAACAGGATATAGTGGGTATGTAGTCAGAACTTTTCCCTTTGGCTCTCACACGTAAGGAGATAAAGGGAATTTCAAAACGCAGCAGAGATCGCGTTGGCAAAGCCACTTCCGATAAGTAATTTCCCATAAAACCCGGAATCTGGAATGGTGTAGATATTGGGTGGGTTCAACCAACAGGTATTCTCGTTTGAGTGTCCCGTGGGTTAGGGTATGGGAGTCCGGTGTATGTGGTGGGGGGGGGTGAGGGTGAGGCATATGGGGGATGTGGTTTGCTTCCTGACCGTAGACTGGATAAACAGTGTTCAGAAGACTGCATAGCTGGTTAAGTGATTTGGAATAATGTGCGCCAATTTCGGCGGCCTGCTGTGCCAGCGTCCAGTGGTTCACCACATCGCGGTATCCATGATCCTAGCCTTATAGGCACATTACCCCTTTGACATAGAGCATGGGCTCGTGGGTTTACTCCTAACTTGGGCATTTGTGCGCCGTAGGTTCCGCTACCCATATGGGTTAAAAACGGGGATATAAAAAAACCCAATGTGTGGGCCATTTTGTATTGATGACGCTGTTGCGCGCATGGCTATACCGAAACTGTAAGATGCTATCTGTAAGGAATAGGTTGCTGATGTTGTATACCGCCTTGCTCCTGTAACAGACATGAGGCCTATATGCGTTTGTACTTTGTTGTGTGTTGGAGCACTGTTCCTCGCACTCTCTCAGTTTGACGTCCCGAACAGAGGCGCCCAGGCCAGACCTAGTGTTCTCGATTTTGAGTGGGCTGGTAGATTCCGAGTTCCCATAGGATACCGACGCTACCACGGAGATACTCTAACTCCACTAATATTGCATGGGGCGGGCTTCCGATATTTCTTGGGTACGGATTTGTATTCCTTTGCTTGTAGTGTTATTAAAGGGGGCCAACATGAGGAGATAAGTAAATCATTAACTTGTGATTCGGTGGGCAATGGGTAACATCGGGTGTCGGGGGGGATTACTTTGGGCTGGAGGGTGGACCTATGTCTATCTGTTTGATATGAGGCGAATACTACAGGACAAAGGGGAAAAGGAGGGGGCGAGCTTGCTGCATCACATCCAAGTTTTCCGGTTAGGGGACTTGTGTGTGGGTTGCATCGATTTTGTTTGTATTGAGGGACTGAGGGGGGATGATAGGGGAATCTTGGTGATGTAGATAATGGATTGGGGATGTATGTGGGTCTCGGGGATTTGTTATAGTTATGTATATTTAACTGTAAAATATTTACTGATAGCTAAGAATAAAAAGGCATAATGATCTCATATTGTTGTGTGTTATGGGGGGCGACAGAGATATTGAAGGGGAGGGGGGTTGATGTAACGATATTGAGGTTAGGTGGTTCATGTGATTTTCTGTTGTTGGGGGGTGGGTAGTCACAGGGGGTAGGGTCAACAGGGGGGGATGACAGCTATATTACAA